AAAAAAGAAGAGAGATAAACCTCTGAGGCATAGGGTGTTTGAGGTTCCTTTCCCAGTCCATCTGAGCCGAATCCTGTCCAGGCTCCAGTGTGGTTTATACCTCCAAGTCGAGGGGTTCTGTAAGCTTGGTCTTCTTTTGGTTTTCCATGTGCTGGAGGAGCTCCTGGAATTGAACTGCGGTCAATGGTGCTCGTCATGATTTGAGGATCAGATGGTGGGATATTGGATCAGATTAAAGAAGGCTTGTCTGAACCTTTGGACTGAACAAGGATGCTGATGCTGGCCGCTGCTGTTGAAGATGAAGATGCTGAGCAGAGGAAGCTCGTCAAGTCCATCAAGTGAAATCAACAAGAGGGCAATGGCATTGGCAATGGCAATGGCAATGGCAACAATAGGAGGAGCGGCAACAGGAGCGGCAAAAGAGGAGCCGGTGGATATCAGTCAATCGAGTCAATCGAAGATGGAATTTATGAGTAGTTGGATCCTTCGTTGGATCGAAAGATAACAGCTCGACAGATTCGCCGAACTGTTATCTTCGTCGTCTTTTCGCTTGAACAACTGCAAGCCAGTTCAAACGACCAATGCCGGTCCTGGGTAAGAGACCAACTGGATCGTAAGAGACCAACTGCCGATCGACCAACAGCCACATGAAAAGACAACACTGCAGAGGTCGCTCGTGACAACTCACGAGCGATCGATCGCTCGTGATGTACGTCTCCGTCGAGTTAACGAAAAAGTGAGGAGTTTGCTTCGAAGATATAAGGCAAGCATGACTCAGCCATTCGAATCGATAATAAAGACCCTCGAAGCATGATTCAAGGCATGACACACAAGCCGAGCCTCATGTATGCATTCGGCTCATTTTTCGATGAATTCTGTTAACTCTGTCAACTCGGATCGATCGATCGATGCGACGGAGACGGAGATGAGGCAAGGCTCTACCGGTGATAGAGATAACAGTAGTAGTAACAGTTGCAGTCGAACGTGCAGTACCAGCAGTGGCTACTGTGACATAGATAATAGGATCCTCATGAGATTACGACGTCAATAGGAACAGGGGGATTCTTTCGAGCGAATCCAAGGAAGTGAGTTGCAATAAAGGGAAGGACTATCGATGAAAATGCAAGAGGAAACTCATAGGAGCAATCTGCATCAAGGATAGCCATTCCATTGACAACCATAGGGGATAGAAATAAGAAATAGAATGAGTAACATCTCATAACCTCCATGCTACCATGCGACAATACCATTGTGGATTGTCCAATCTAACGATCTAAGAGATGTAAAGTTTGTATTTCCAAATAAGTGAGCAGTTATTGATTATTTCTAGAATAAGCCTGCTAATTGTAAAGCTGTAAAGCTGAATTGTAAGCTGTATCCCGTCGCAATATTCCTGGAGTACATCTACAGCACGGTTGTAAGCTGCCAATGCACCATCAACTTCTCCTTTGCGAGTGGTCACTTCCTCATTCAATCGATCGAAGTGCCTCCTGATAATGCCCTTCCATTTACCAAGGGGCTTGATGGTTCTCTTGTAATCTCTTGGATCAGCAGCAAGCAATTCGAAGCAGGTTTCGATACCATGTTCCAACAATTTACGGATTTTTGTGGAGCCCAATCCCCGACAGATATTCCTGCTGCCGTGGTGATTGTGATTGTCCTTGGATGGAAGCAGGGAACGGAGTGGAATGTCAGTATTCGCGCGATTTCTTGCAGACTCTTCTCGACCTCTGGCCGATCGGAGATCGGCGGTTGCCCTGTTGCATCTGTTAATCAAACCTTGGTGTTCTCTATTGGTTGATTCGGGACCTGGTAGCATCTCTAAAATTGTCCGCTGTTTCTTCTTTGGACGAATTTTGTCAAGGCCAATTGCTGTAAGATACAACTGGTGGTCTTCGTAGTATGCGGTGTGAGCCATTCTGTCAAGCTTTTTCGCGATGGCGGCTGTTGCTTCTTTGTGGGAACTCTCGACAATCAAACTATGTAACTCATCGTCCACTGCAAAACCATGGCCCAAGTAGAATGTAAAGAAGCCATAGTAGAGTGATGAATCCAGCTGCATGGACTCCTTGTTATACCCAGCAAAACGTCTGCCGCATCTGGTGCACAGGTAGAGTACTGTATCCAGATAACAGATCCTGGACACACCGTAGAGAACCTTCGGACAGTTTACCCATCGTGACTTCTTCAGATCAACTGCATCCCTCTTCTTACAGTGAGGGCAACAAGGAATGTGGTTCGGAACCAGGATGTGGGGTACCCAAACCGCCATTGGCTTTACATAAAAGTGTTCGACGGTGGTTTTCTTTCCACGCTGGTCTAACAACATGCTGTCGAAACGTCCTCCTCGTGATGGCTCAATTCGCTTCCATACTCTTGGTGGCTTGAAGAATCCATTTGCGTCATTGTCAATACCATCTCTAGTCTTCAGAACAAAGCGCCATTGCGGCGCAGAGAGCTGCTTTGGCTTGTTGCGGTTTCGATTGCTCATGGTCGATAGTGGATGGAGTGTGCTTAACAGTCGGTGCAATCGCATTGTTTTCAACTGAAAACGATTCAAACTTTCCGTAGGGTTAGGGTGGACGAGGAAAGAAATTTCAACACTCTAAGTAGCAATATTTGGGACATGTGTAAAATAAAGTAGAGTTTAACCTCGGAAACGGACATGCTGGAAATAGAGGAAGGATGTGTTTCAGACATCGACAGATTACACGTGGAAGCAAAGGAGATGCGAAAGGAATGCATGACTATCACTAGGACGCTCATCCTCCCCCCCCTTTCTTTTTTCCTCCTTCCCGGGACCAAGACATAGCAAAACCAGCTAGCTGGAGCCTTTCATCGATTTCACTATTTAAAATACTGGCTGGCTACGACTGTAGCCTTTACTACTAGCCTCCACGCTGGACGCCGGTCTACTTGGTGTCTGCAGGAAACCAGACACCCGCGTTGCAGTTTCTGCGTGCTGAAAATGCGACTACCGGACTATCAAGAATTGTTGAAGTACTTGAAGAAGGCAAGACACTCGCTAATGTTGCAGATGAAGAAGCAGAAACGTCGTATCCATACGACCTCCCACCTCCGTAGTTACCATAGCCGTAATAACTGTTGTAATCAGGCTTGTATCGGCGATAACCATAACTCTCCCTATAAGGACCGTAAGCTTCGTGGTATTATCGTTTGAATTGTCATGTGCCGAGCACCGCTTCAACTTCCTGACACCGAGGCATCCTCCCCAGGTTCGACCAACGTCATTAATTGCTCGAGCAATCGGGTTCATTGTAGCACCTGCTCTGCCTGGTGAGAGATCATATTCAGATGTGTAATTGGGTACTTGAATACTTTCTTTCCGAAGCTCCAGTGTTAGCCGTGCATGCCAAGCTAAGAGATGTCGAAAAGGCATGTGGTCTTTATCAGGGCAACACAATGGCTTTTGATGGACGTCTGCAAGTGTTTTTTGTGGATTCGACCCTTCGATTTTGTCCGATAGAATTGTTGTATCTGCAACCCACAGACAAAGCTCTTCGTTGAGGGTGTTGTAGAGGAAACAGACCTGCTGATTATCAAATGCTTCTTCGATTCCCTTCGTCACAAACATCCCATTTCTCACATTGTTAAAATTCTCTTTGCCAAGGCCAAATTCGTCTAAGAACTTCCCTCTTGTTTCCGCCTTCCATATGTGCACAGCAATGATTGTGTTGTTTGCCATGTCATGAAGTCCCTCCCAAAGTGATCTTTCTCCTACCTTGGCTGAGACACAATATTCCCACAACCACCACACAAGTATTAGTAAGCATGCATTCACACATCGTGTGGTGTGGTCTTTTGTTGTGTGTGTGTTTGCACCACAACCACAGCGGGACTCGACTCAGATTTGCCTGTAAAAACCCGCGCATCTCGCTTCGACTGTGGAATCAAGAGAGGCTAAAGAAACCTGGACATGGTACCGGCTGGCTCCCTCGGTACTCTCCTCACTCATATTTAAGATAAGTAAGTCTAAGATACCCAATGCTACTACTTTACAGGAATAACAAAGACGCTCAGATTTCCCAAACCAGTATGATAAGATACGAGTACTGAGGTCTCAATCCTAATCTAATACTACTTCTATGTGGGGAGTGGGGGAAGCTAGTACCAGATATCTTCCGCATCACCATCTACATCCAAGTACTCTATCTCCGCATCTTGGGGTGCCTTCTCTACCACAACATCTTTGGTTTCATCAATTTTGGCTTTACACATTTGCCTTCTTGGGCTTTGGTGGGGGTCTACTCACTGTCTGAGGCATGATTAGTAGTAGGGTATGTGCCATTAGCTGCTCTATTAATAGTGGCTATAAGATACAAAGTGAGATTGGACTAGACTACTTATAAGATAATGATTCGATTCCACTCAGTGTGGCTAGACTATCGCTCTTGTTTCGAATCAGAATAGAGTTATCTTATCAATAAGGCAGAAGTGTAGATTCAGACGGACGGTTTTTTCTGTGCAGTTTTGATGACTTCGTTGAATTTACCGTACGTTTGGTTATTAATTGGTGTCATAAGAAACAAATTCAAAATGTTTTGTTTCAGTTGTAAATATATTAGAAAAAAGAAGAAAACTCAAAATTGATTTGCCCCACCATATTTCGGGTAGATAGGCCCTGTAAAGCTACCGGGGTGTTCTAGACATCCTATTAACTTCAAGAAAATAGACAGTTCTGAGTTCTCCAAAAGAGTAGATATCATTCCAATCAAAAAATTCGAAAAAGGTTGAGTTTTGGCTGAGATATGGGCATGGAGATATGGCCAGTTGGGATAGGAAGCAACCCTTTCAGGGGGGGGGGGGCATTTTATGGTCCAGGAAGTGACCGACAACCAAGAAATAAGGGTCTATCCTGCTCGGCAATAGCAATACTGCAAAGAAGAAGGATAGAACCATTGTTTTGGAATTTGTAATTTCCTGATGGAGAAAACTGGTCCCCCAATTTTGATTCCACACTGAAGCATTGGTACGGTATGGTGTTGCGTCTGATCCGTGTCGTCCCAACCTTGGAAGTAACCAAGTATTTTGGCTCTTTAAAATCGATTATTATAAAATAATGAATAAAATGGGTCAAATAATGGATCAAATGTCGCCTCTACTTGCAGATTGTCATCACTAAGGAAGGTGCGGGGACACATGAACAATGTAAAGAGCAAAATGTATGCAGTTTTTCAATCCAAGCCGCTGTGCACTAGTACCCATCCCCTCTCAATCAAGGTCCGACGACAAGCAACAAGTTGGAACGGGCACCGCTAGCTAGTAGCTCTCATCTATAGTAGCCATTGCCACCCAGGTTGATAGCTGAGGAAACGGATCGATCTCAAAAGACGCAGTTGAAAATCAGCAAATCGCCAGTGTGCCGCTGCTGGTCACCCGATTTTGACCCATCCTTCTCGAGCAGCCTCCCCACGAATCCTTTCATCCACCTTGCTAGACCTAGTATAGCTTTTGTGTGTTGATCTCATCATCATCATCATTGGTTCCAGGAATCAAAGAAATTGAAGAGCGAGTCGTAAAATTTGACCAAAAAGAAACAAGTTCGTAAAGACAGCGTCACCAAGCCAAGCCAAGCAAGCTATAAGTACTACTAGAAGAAGAAGAATCACGTCACCATGTCGCGTCGCCGCGGAGAGTTCGAGCATCGAACATCCATTTTCGAAGGAGCCTTTCGGGCATGGTCTCATTTGGGTGGCCTCGAGCCTGAAGAGTTGGAATCGCGTCCCGCTGCCGATTTGGATCCGTTGACCAATCCCATTGAAGTCGACACCCGTGTCAAGGGCGCCAAGGGAAAGAAGGGTGAAGAAGCAGCACGCAATCCAGATGGAAGCAAACGCCGAGAGTACCCGTATGAGCCCCTGCCTCGTTCAGGATTGGCGCATCCCTACGTACAGGCCATTCTTTCGCCCTGGTTGGGTCCCGACGCCGACAATGAAGCCATCCAGTTGGGTCTCACCACGCTCCGTACATGGTGGCAGCATCGTCGCAAGGGAGAAAGTGGAAGTGCCATTGCTGCCTTGGGAACGGAAAAAATGAAGGGCGTCGTCGAAGGATACACTCGCCACTTTTTCACACTCGCACATTGTCTCATCATGAACGACAAGGAACAACCTCCCAGGAGTTTGCACACCAAGATGAAGGAACTCGACAAACTCAGAAATAAGCGCAACAAGAAAAGGGCTCGTGAAGACGAAGACACCAAATTGACCGCCATGGCACTCAATGGAGGATTTGGAGGACCAGGACCCAACAACGAATCGGCCCAACTCGCTGCCGGAATCAACGCAGATTTGACCGATTCCACACTCAGTCCCCTGGAACGTTTGCATGCGGCACAGCGTCGACAGTTGGCCGAAAGTGGAGGAATACATTCCACTCTCCCCGGTGTCCCTGGGGGAGGCGGCGGCGGCGGAGATGTCAGTGCCTTGCCTCCCGTCGTCAACATGAAGGGAAAATGTGTCCCCGGAAAACTCGATCTCCCTGGAATTGTCGACACGGTCAGTCATCAGGCGGCTCAGTTGTCCCATCGTGGTGGAGGTTTCGCTCCCAATCAGGTGGGGAGTGGTGGAGGACCTTCGGCTGCTCCCTCGACGCAATACGGAGACCCCGCTACCACTCCCGTCGTCTTTGTCAGCGACAAGGGAGACATTCAAATCGCAATGACGGTCGATGGAATTACCTGTGCTCATTGCGTCAAAATTGTCGAAACCGTATTGAGGGGATGCAATGGAAATAAATCCCCCATTGATGGATTGTTGGATGCTGCTGCGGATCGTGTTCTCTGCAGTGTCTTGATCAAAATTGATCGCTCCTCCAATGCCAAGCGTATTGCTTTCGAAGCGGCCAGGAATTTGGCAATGGTTGGATACACTGCCAAAGCCAAGGAAATGAGCATTGTGGGACAAGGCGCCGATAAAAAGGCAACCATGGATTTGGGAGCATTGAGTACCGCATTCGAAGTAGTTGCCAACAACAAGGGTGAAGAAGTCTTCGATTGGAGAATTCGATGTAGCTGTCCCGACAATGGAATATTGCGCGATGATTGCCAGAGGTAGGATATGACTGCAGCAACAACAACAACAAAATTTGGGGATGGTTGTCTGAGAAGCACTTTCAACTGACGTTCTGTGTTTCGTTTTCCCCCCTTCTCTGCTCGTCTACGTAGGCACTCCCAAATGAATGCACGACTCTTTGAAGCTTTCGAAGCGCGTGCCCAACAAGTGAAGGAATACATGGCCGGGTGCGGTTCAAAGTACGGCATGCCTTGCACTTGTGGGCCAGGATGTCGCTGCGCGAACTGCTCTGGGGAGTGCAAACAGAGCCGTGCAGGAGATGGTTCCGGACAGAACCAGCAAAACAATCAAATGGCACAGCTGAAAATGGATCAACAGATGCAAAACGGTTTCAATGATCCCTACGGAGGTATGATGGGAGGTGGAGGAGGAGGACCGCCGCCTCAGATTTCAACCACGAACATGAACAATTTTGGCGGAGGCGATCCGATGGGCAATATGCACGGCTACGGAGGAGGAAACAATGGCATGAACATGAATGGTGGAAATGGCGTCGGGGAATTGAGTGGGCTCGGGGGCGCAGAGGATGAGATGGGTATGCCGCCGAGCAGAGCTGAAATGCCCATGCGAGGCGGAGATGGCCGCCGCGCTTCTCGCAATCCCTCGATCATTTCCTTTGGAGGTGTGCGTGGAATGTCGGTCTCGTCAGAAGCAACCTTTGGCAGGGCCATGTCTGGTTTGTCAGCGTTGAGTATTGATTGGGAAAATTTGGAAGACTTCGATGTTAATGTGGATCACTCGGCGCACATCAACAATGGTGGTGCAGGAGGCGCCAAGAAAGAAGACAACGGAACTCACCAGGTCTGAGCTCCATGATTTGGTTGGATGAGATGCCGTGCTATTTGTCTGACTCGAGTCAGGCGCAGTAGCATTTCTTCTCGTTTCACAAGCATGGTTCAGTGCGGCGGGTCACATGTGGTCGGGTTACTTTTTGTGTGATATTCGGGATTCCTTACTTTTCTTGATAGAGGGCGTCTGCCTGTGGATGCTTCAATCAATCAACAATATTTATATTGCATGCGGAAAAGGGGTGAGCTCCTACCGTAGGTACCTTTTCACGTTGTTCCTTCTTACTTCGTAGTACTGGGCACACCATAGACCACGTACATAGGCGCACGAGCAATACCGTAATTTTGCCGTGGCAGTTTTGGCATCGTAGAATCCGCTCGTTTACTTCCTCTGGCGAGGGATCGTCCGCAAAAAGGCATCGAATCCTACCTGTGCCATCTTCAAGGCTCATTGGAGATGGCGCCACTACAAGATCACTCACGGTACCTAGCCAGAAGCTGAAATTCGCGCTGAGCAAATCTGTCATGTGTTTCGTGACCTTCTATCATCATTATTTTTAGAAATGTAACTAATCCAGAGCACCTGCCTCCAAAACATTGATCATTGAGTATACTTTTCCCTCAGATTCTGTTTTCAATTTCTTGGACAAGAATTTTACAGCATCAGCTGTCCCTTCTGCATAGACTGTTCTACCGACAACATTGTGTTGCAGTCCAAATTGTACGGAACCATCCGCACTGGTGAGTGTGTAAGTGTGAAAGGCGTGTCCTTTCAATCCCTCTTCGGGGACACCAAATTCCATGGCTTCCTCGTCACCCCGAATCATGTTAATATCATCATAGGTGAAACCATCATCACTGAGTTCTTTGAGAGAGTCAATCACTGCCTTTGCAGTGCCAGAGGTGTCGGCCTTTGTCTTTTGATGGGACTCTGTCACTTGGAGTGTGTATCCTGCAAAGGCAGATGGGTACTTGGATGCCAAATCCTCCAAAGCTGCTTGCATGGCAACAATTTGTTTGCCCATATTGGGAGCAATAACGGCAAAATGCTTGGCTGCTGTGACATCGGCCATGAGCTTGTCACGATCGCCACCAGTGGTTCCCATGACAAATGGTAGTTGATTGTCAATATAAAAAAGTGCATTTGCATTTACTGCAGAAGGATGAGTGTAGTCAATGGCCAACAAGTTCTTTTCTCCTGCTCCTTCTTTGGCGCCAGCAATGGCAGCCGCTAATTCGTCGGTTTCTGTAGAGGGGATCAATCGGACATTGGCCGATTTGCCGCTGACCATATCACTGACAGTGATGGTACAGGGCTCAATTTCTGGCCCTGTCATGGCAACAGGAGACAACTTGAGACCTTTGCGAAGACAAGCTTCTGCTGCAGCAGTTGCCATGGGACCTGGCATTCCATTGACCATGATTGTGGCATCACTGTTGCCATCGGCCATGAAAAGAGCTGATAATCTTCCTTGAGACTTCTGGGTCGCTGGAGTGAAGCCATTCGACACATGCAGAGCAGCCAGTGCCCATAGGGCAAAGAAGGAGTTTCGAAAAATCATTTTGGTTGGACTTTTTGGCTTTCTTTTATGGCTCCTTTTGTTGGTTTACAGATTTCTGTGGTCTGTGCACGGCGAACCTTTTTTGAGAGGTTTGTGGCCAGGAAAGATCGCATCTTCCCGAACTTTCAGTTTACACCCGTTCGAAGCGAGCCTGGAGCTTATCACTTCCAGATCGCATTTTAGAGATGCGGAATTGCCGTTGTCATCGCTTTCGTTGATCTTTGAGGCGAGCAAGAAGACGAAAGCTACTCGCGGCCCAACCAGTTGACCAGTCAACTTGCGTAGCTTTCCACAGTAAAACCACAAATTTACCCCATTCATTTACCCCATCTTTGCAAGATTCCGCTCAAGAAATCACCCAGTCAACTGGTTGGGTCAATCAACCAGATGGGCCGCGAGTAGAAAGGTCTGCCAAAAGTACAACAAAGGGTATGGATCTTTTGACTACTACCGGTAGTTGACTAGTAGCTAGAAAAGCAAATACAAGTGCAAGGTCTTTGCTTAGGCCACCCTCCCTATTTATTGGGTTATCATAATCTCAGCCTTGAATCCAACATGTAACTGCTCGCTCTCCAACCCTTGAGAAACTCCATCAGGCGAGCAACTGGGATATTCTTGGACTTGGCTTGGTAGAGAAACAACCGGGATAGTTGCCTCCGAAAAAGCGCATCGCGACCCATGTAATTAATTCCCTCCTCCTTGAGGATCCGGATAAAACATTACCATTTGCGCCTTTTCTTCGTCCGACATGCCCTTGGTCAAGGAAGGATTGAAGAACCCGATCATGCCGTAGAAACTTTTGTGCAAGCAGGGTGTCATTGGGGTATGATATCTCACCATCTGCTGAAAGCGTTCTCTCTTGATTTGCTTCTCTTCGTCCGAGTCAAAGACAGTAAAGATAAGATAGGAAGCGAGCGACGGTGATAGGGAATTCACATCCCGAAAGTGAAGGGCTGCTCCTTGCAGTTGTTCTTCTTCACCAGTTTCTTGGGACCGACGACGGAGGGAGGGAGTTAGGTTCGATGATGATCCCCCCAAGAAAAGGAAACTCCCAGCTGTCACAGCAGCAAACATGAACAAAGAAACGAAAAATCCTGGCCTCATCATGGTGATTCTATGTTCTTGAGCGAGTTCCACTGTTATCCAGCAGGGCTTCTGCAGAAAAGTGGATACTCCACTAAGGTCCAATGCAGCTCATCTTAGAGATGTTTGAGCGATTATATTTAACGCACTTCATGCGTTCCAGATCTTCTTGGAATGATTCGGAGACCCGCACTAGTCCTGCGAAAGATGTGGAAACAGCAGAGCATAACTTGCTGATCAAGGTGAAGGCTCCGCAAGAGCTCCTCCGTCTCCGTGGGAAGCAAGGAAATGTTGGATCAAGGCACATGCCAAAACAACTGAACTTCAGCTTTTTGAGATCAGTAGTTCGGATCCAGTGGAGCTTACGGTACAATCCTCCGCAGACAGCAGCTGCAACTATACGCTTCCACGCGCCACAGGGCACTTACAATCGATATGAAAGTAAGTATGGGGAGACACACCTCCTTCCCAAGCAATCGAATGCATCAACTACCGGTGCGCGCCGCTGTTCCTTCCCGTGATGTCACTCAACAAGGAGCCCTCAACGAGGGGCAGGCTATGCCATAGCCAGATTTCTTCATGGTGCCTGGACAGCTAGTACCGGTATGCATAGCAGGATGCTTCGTGCCAGATCCACGATCGACCGGTTGGTGTGGGGATCAAAACGCACGTGTATGTATGTGGGATGTGGGATGTGCGCAGAATTCGTTCTTTCTAAATAAATTATGTAAAGCTTAGAAAGGTTTCCTACTTGTCTTCAGCGACACGGCATGTGGTTGTCTCTGTTTGCATCACTGGGGGTGCAGGCCCTGGCCTCGCGGCTTGTGTTGGTTTGTTTCACATCTACCGGTACCGGTAGGAGCTGACTGTCCGCTCGTGCAGAAACCCAGGAGGAACATCTCCCACCACCATCCCCGAAATCAAATCGTCTGGGTGGGAGCGCGTGTTGACGGACCCAGACGGCGCCGCCACCATCACCACATGCACCTTTTCTCGGAGCAAGCGCACCTTTTTGGGTCTTGAATCCAGCTGAACAAGGACGTGGTTGGCGGTGGTCTGGGATACGGTGCCTTGGTATCCTTTCCATTGCCCGCTGCGGATGCGGACCGTTTTCCCTACCAGTCCTTGCGGCTGACCCCACTTTTGACGGTATCGTGGCCATCCCTTGGCTGATTGGATGGAAGTGTTGGATGATCCAACGAGGGCACAGCTCCTGCTGGGAACCACAAAAATACCCGAGTTCTCCACCTGTGTTGGTGAGAAGAGAAAGACATGGGACTTGTAGAGACGTCGAATAGTTCCTGATTGTCCTTTGCGTTGAGGACCTGCCGCTACCGCCACCATGCTGCCTTGACGCATGGTCGCCCCACGGCGGTCAAAGTATGTGGTTCGTTGGGAGCGTAGATTGCGCTTTCCCCGCAATTCTTGAGGTCGGACTTTGCGCGCGGTGCCGTGTTGATTCATGAAGGATAGATCGTTTGCGCCCACTCGAACGACAATACCCACTTCCTGGTTCGTGGCCACGAGATCATAAAGGTGGTATCCCTGGAGCGAGTCTTGCTCCCCGGACGAAGTATCCGTCGATTGACAAAGCTGCGAGATTCTAACGGTGATCTCCTTGTGGTGCTGGTCTGTGACGACCACCGCCATGTCGTCTTCTGGGATGGCCACGACGGTTCCAGTCTCATCGGTATAGCGTCCCTCGAAGACCTTCACATGAGCATAAACAGGAATGTGTTTTTGCACTTGACTTGACAAGACCGTCACTTGATGTTGCTCGCCCTCGATTTGGACCCTGATGGTGACACTGTGTTTGTCGTCTTGAGAGAGAACCTCACCATTCAAGCCCATCAAGTCACCGCCAATCACCTTGATGGAATCTCCCCGGAAAAAAGACACGGTGGACATGGTTGTTGATGTTGAAAGTTATGTTGCGGTTGGTTTGCTTGGAGTATTGTGAGGGTGGTACGATCCAAGAGCAATGGGATGCGCTGAAGGAAACCTGGAAGCAAGTTTGGAAGTTCCAAGTTTGAAGGCTCTAACCTTAGTGAAAAACTACTTCTCCCGCTTTCGGTAGCTGGCAGCTGTCACAGCTGCATGTATTATTATGCTGACCAAGTTCTGGATTTGGCTGGTCGTAATCAGTCACAAGATTTGCTGGCAAAGATCTTCGTCTTTGGAGTTCGGAGGTACTAGTATCTTTCTCAGTTACCGTAATGCCGGTTTCAATCGAGTTCCGAAGGAAGGTGGGACTTGCACAGCAACAATAACTTTCCATAGTGATTTTGACGAAGGCACAAGATCCCAAACTAACTTTACGAGAGGTCCATAAAAACAAATCTATCTGATCAGAAACGCAACCCCCAACTAATCTTAACCAAGAAAGCTAGAAAGCTAGAAAGCAAGACAGCAAGACAGCAAGCAAGAAGCAGCAGCACCATGCCCAAGAAACTAGAGGATATTGACAAATGGGTGCTGGTATTGTTTTTTCCGATTTTCGTTCTGGACTACATTTTGTCGCTGATCTTGACGCCGCCCAAACAAGATTTGAGCGAGAAAAAGTCCGTGGCCGTAGGTGATGCTACAGAGACTCATGGGGCCCCGCGTCGGAATCCCGCTTCTCCCAATGAGTTCATTTCGATCCTCATGGGCAACACTACCGTATACGAAATGATCCAAATGGGTGTCAAAAAGAACGGGGATCGCGTGGCCATGAAGCACTTTCAATTCTTGGGAATGAAAAAACTCAAGGAAACCGATCGATTCCCTTCCAAAATCTTCAATTATGACGACCCGGATACCATGGTGCAAGTCACCTACAAGCAACTTGGAGAAAACCTAACGAATTTTGGAAAAGGATTGCGTGAAATTGGAATGGAACCACAGCCACCACATAGCAATCAAGAAGAGTTCGAAAAGGCCACGGGCAAGTTTTCTTTGGTTATCTTTGAAGATACCTGCAAAGAATGGACCACAGCAATGCAGGGAGCCATGGCACAAAGTATGGTGGTTGCCACCTGCTATGCCACCTTGGGACATGATGCCGTTGTCGGTGCCGTTAATGAGACTCAAGCCTCGACGCTTTTTGTCAACTGGAAGCAAGTCGAGAGTTTCTACAAGGTAGCCGACAGCATGCCCACTCTGACTACCATTATTGCATCAACTCATGAGATGCCCAAGGATGCCAAAATTTGGAGTCCGCCTGAAGATGATAATGGGAAAGTGCAAATTGTGTCTTATTTGGATGTCATCGAGAAGGGCAAGACCAGCGAATACGAGGCAACTCCACCCAAGGTACGACAAAATATTGTGCAGCATCATACATCAATGTGTCTCGTTGTGATCCCCAGTGCTAACACTGTTTGAAATCTTACGTAATATTTGGATCAACAGCCCTCCGATATCGCCGTGATCATGTACACATCTGGTTCCACCGGAAAGCCCAAGGGAGTTGTCATGAAACATTCCAACTTGGTGGCAGGACTTGCAGGAATGGTCACCAACGTTCATGTTCGAGAATCACAGGAAACCTTTGTATCCTATCTTCCACTGGCGCACATTTTAGCCCTCCAAGTGGAAACCATTCTGCTTACTATGGGGGCCACCCTTTGTTACACGGATGCTCGACAAATCGCCAAAACCATGCCACTGTTTAGCCCCACAATCTTTGTAGGTGTGCCCAAGGTTTGGGAGCTACTTCAAGGTGGATTGCAAAAGCAAATGGACAAGGCTCCCGCGGCGCTCAAGACTGTGTTTGATGTTCTATTGGCTTGGAAGATGGATATGCTCAAAAAGGACATGGACACGCCTGTATCCAACAAGTTCTTCGGAGTGATCAGTACGAAAGTGTTCGGTCGAGATCGCATCGAGTTTGGAGTCACGGGAGGCGGTCCCATGTCCGCAAGTCTACAGCTATTTTGCCGTGCTGTGTTCAACTGCCCCATCATTCAAGGGTATGCCTTGACGGAAACTTGCGCTGGCGGTTGCTTTCAGGCCACCAGCGATCAACGATCCGGAATTGTGGGGCCCCCCATGCCATGCGTCGAAATCATTCTGCAGAGCGAGCCTGAATTCAAGGACAGTGGCGGACTTCCCTACTTGCACACGGACACAAAGGGTGCAAAAGGAGAAGCTGTCATTGGACGTGGCGAAATCTGCTTTCGAGGTCCTTCCATCACGGCGGGATACTACAAAAACAAGGAAAAGACAGCGGAGGACTATGATGCCGATGGCTTTTTCCACACGGGCGACATTGGACAATTCACCGCGGATGGTGCGATTCAAATTGTGGATCGCAAGAAGAACTTGGTCAAACTCAAGGGTGGCGAGTATGTGGCTGTTGAGGCCATGGAAACTGCCTTTGCAACCTCTCCCTACGTGACCAACTTGTGTGTTATTGCAAACGGTGACCTAGATGGACCATTGGCCATTGCGTGTACAGACAACCAAGCGCTGGAAAAATGGGCCACGGAATCTGGCATCAAATTTGACTCTGTCAACGAGCTCCCAGACAAGCCAGAGGTGCGCAAGGAGGTTGTCAGATCGTTCGTTGCAGGCGGTAAAGAAGCGGGACTTGGAAAGCTGGAACTGCGTATCAAAGACTGCGCCTTGATTACTGATGTTATTTGGATGCCTGGAAATGGACTGACAGCAAGCATGAAGCTGGATCGTAAGAAGATCTATGACATTCACGACAAGGAGCTGAATGAGATGTACAAACGAAACGGGGTGACCATTTCAAGTTAGACAGCGGAACGGTGAAACGAATGCATGAAATCCTGCTAGTAGAAGCCATTGATAGCCAAATGATCTTTTGATCCCAGTAGCAGAGCAGACACTCGTCTGGCAAACCACTTATTGTTCTACCGGTAATGAAAACTTCACCAGAGCGAGTGCCCAACTCTTCTATTGTAGTTCCGCTTCACCACGGGTCATAGAGAGACAGCATCATGAAACAAGCAAATTCCTGCAAACCGTTACAAAGTCCACTCGTATCCTCCATCAAAAATCTCCCATCTGCCTCCTTCGGGCCCTCTTTGGTTCAATGAATTTTGACGGCAATGTCCATGTCGGGCTGTTTTCTCTTGCCCGTGTCATTGTCATCTGAATCAATTACAAAATTTGCCTGCATGAGAAACGTGCTATTGTCGTCTTCCTCTTCCACCGCACGCCGCAAAGGGTGCGGATCGTGGAAACATTTGGTAGATTAACCTCAACCTTCCATAGATCCAAAGAGCCATTTTTTATCCAGCCAACTCTTTTGCCATTATTTTCTTGCCATGACAACAGAACCAGGTAGCAGCGGCAGAAGTGGCTTTGCCATTGCAATCTCCATCAGTGATGGCGCTGAGGTGTCGCTAGAAGGACTCCGACAGCACCTTCGAGAGGCTCTTTCTACGGAAAGCAGAGAAATCCAGGATATTCCACTCGCAAAAGGGAGCGACGACACTGCTTGCATCCATGGAACCATTGTTCTTCATCGCGAGGTGGAAGAGGAGCAGGCCCAAGACTATGTGCAACGTTTGCACCAGTCGACATATCAAGACAAACTAATGGAAGCTCAACTAATCAGCGTTTCAGAGGAGGAGGAAGGAGAAGAGGAGGAAGAAGAAGAAGCTGAAGAGTACGATGGGAAGCAGATTTTGAAGCAGAGCAGGCAAGTTTCCGTCAGGTTCTTTGATTGGTTGCACTCTCAAGACTTTGGTGATAATGAGGCTGTTGATTTGCGTGCCATAGAACGTGACGCCGTGCATCATCTGTTTGTGGCATTTGCCCAGAAACATCTTCCCTCGTTGGCAGAACTGCAACAGATAAGATTGGAAGCATTGGTCATGACAGCTTTGCGAAATCAAAGCCTCTTAAGAACCAAGAAATACGGTGGTGGAGTCATCATGTGCTCATTCGCCATGGCAGACAAAGTGACATTTGCTCCCTTGCAAGAACGAAAATCTGCGAGAGAAAAAGCCCTTGATATGCGCCGGGAAAGCATGACCAACAAAGGTGGAGTTATAGTGGAAGAGGAGTTTACGACCATTCCAGAGGGGCCTGTACTGCCTATCCATCAAGACGTTACAGTATCGATAACTATGGAACAAAGCACCGAGAGACCCATAGAATTGAAGCAAGTTACTCTGGGGGGCAGTCACAAGAAACTGTTCCAGGTGGTTACACAAACACCAATTGTTCTTACGTCAGACTCCAAAACGACCTTTCAGCTTTCCTGTCGGGCCAAGAGTTCTGGTGCTCTCCGAGCCAATGTGACGTTTTTGTTTGAGAATCACGATGGCAAACAGTTCGCTGTCCTTCGCTCTGTGCTTTTGCGCTCCGGAGACTCCAAAATGTACGAATTGCTCAAGCCCACGACGCCATACGTCAAGAAGAACAAGAAGCAGAAGAAGCGCCAGAGCGAAGACCTGCATACGGAAAAGGAGAAAGTTTTGGACCCACCACGGACGCGAGATGGTGGACATTTCAGTTACAAAGGTCTCAAGAGTTTCAAGGTTCCAGTCGACGTTAGAGAATTGGTCGAAAAGAACGAAATCGAATCCGCCCTCGTCCCTCCAACCTACGCCACAACTAGCTACGCATCATCCGCGAAAGAACTCAAGAAAACCTATTCGACGTTTTGGCAATCCCTTTTATGGACTAGTGAGCTTCAAGCCTACGAAGATATCAAGCTTTTTGACATTGAGAAAGCCAAGCTAGAGAAACAGGGAGGACTCTTCAAGCTTTACGTTTCCGGTCTTGCCGAGGGTCGACCATCCGTCTTGAGAGGCGATGTTGTCCTCTGCTCGTGGAATAGAAAACTGTACCGAGGCCGTGTCGTCGCGGTGGAGCTACTGGATGTTCTGATGGAGTTCCACAAGTCCTTCCATCGTAGTTTCAACGTCAGTGTCGATCGAGTGGATTTGGTACGATTCACCTTCGGTCGGACGGCATTTCGGACATCGCATACAGGAGCCCTGTTCGCCCCTCAGCGTATGGGTCCCGACATGCTCATGCCGCAACTGAGCCATGCTCATTGGATTAGGAGCAATCAAGAGAGACGAGACCATCGCTATTGTCCCGATTCCTTCCGATGGACGAAACCTTTGAACGAGAAACAAAAGCAAGCTGTCCAGCAGATTGTCAAGGGAAGTCTACGACCCATGCCATCCATCATCTTTGGACCACCGGGAACTGGTAAAACAACCACGATGGTAGAAACAGTCTACCAACTCGCCAATTTGCACACGTACGACCGCACTCGACAAAACGGAAAGCTCAAGATTCTCTTGGTAGCTCCGAGCAACGATGCCACAGACTTGCTGGTCGAAAAGCTTTCTCCTTTTTTCCCTCCATCGGAGCTGATTCGTGTATTGGCGTATACACGCTCCATTGATCAAGTGCCGACTGTTGTCCGCCCCTACTGCCACGAAGGATCGGTCACCGATGTGCAGATTGTGGTTACGACCCTTTCCATGGCGGCGAGATTGTGGTGCACGGGCAACGACATGAAACGAGGTCATTTTGATGTTCTCTGTGTGGATGAAGCTGGCCATGCAACAGAACCCGAAGTGATTGCAGTTGCCGCCACTATTATGAACTGGAGAGGCAAGAATCCTGGGCAGCTTGTGTTGGCCGGAGATCCGATGCAGTTGGGTCCCGTGGTAAGCTCACAAGTCTGCGAAAAGTTTGGCATGCAACAATCCTTCATGGAGCGGTTGGTCAAGACAAGCCCGGCGTATGCTTTGAACGAGAAGGACGAGTATCCACAGGATCTTGTGACGCTTTTGGTCAGCAATTATCGCTCTCATCCGGACATTCTCAAGCTTCCCAACGAAATGTTCTATCGCAATCAGCTGATTCCCTGTGGCGACCGCCTGTCGACGCACTCCATGGTGAAATGGGAGTACTTGGCAAAGAAGGGCTTTCCTGTCATGTTCCACGCCATTGACGGTGAAAACATGCGTGAGGGAAACTCTCCATCTTGGTTCAATCCCCAGGAAGCGGAGCAGGTAGTGGAGTACGTGAAAAAGTTGGTGAAGGAATCCAAACCTCCCATTCGCGAAGAGGACATTGGCATCATCACGCCGTACGCTCGTCAAGTCCAAAAAATCCGACTGGCACTGCAGCAATCCAAAGTTGGTGATGTCAAAGTTGGTGAGTGCTACATGTATAATAAGTGTTGCTGGAAAGAAGATCTCCACTTGGGAAGGGAACTAACCATTGCTACCTCTCTCTCGAACTATTTATCTGTGCATCAATCATCTATCTATAACTGTATATATATTATAGGATCGGTGGAGACATTTCAAGGTCAAGAACGCCGTGTGATTATCATTTCCACGGTTCGATCGGAACAGGACCTGCTTTTGCACGATCTCAAGTACAATCTAGGTTTTGTCTCGAACGAGAAACGCTTCAATGTGGCCGTGACTCGCGCCAAGGCATTGTTAGTAGTGATTGGTAATCCTCGCGTACTACAGACAGACGAAGAGCATTGGTTACCATTGCTTCGTTTCTGCCGTGACAATGGTTCCTGGATGGGTGATGAGTGGGACGAAGATGCTACCGACTCTGACGAAGATGGCTTTGATGTGGTGACAAACAGTGATGCGGAGGAACCAACCGGTGCTGAGTGGGAGGTCGTGCCCGACAACGAGGCTTGTGGTTACATCAATCGCGAGGAATAATCCAAAGTACGGGTAGCATCTGTATCTTCTGTTTCTATAGAAAACTGAACTCTTGCTATAACCAGTTAGTCAGTTGTCTAGTTTGAGAAGGGCAAACCCTCCCTGGAACGAGAATATAAAATATAGAAGATGATGATTATGCATTGACTTAGTTGCCAGTGAATTGGATATCAATTCTGGCAGATTGATGAGTGAGTGATTTTTGAGTGACTGACTGAGTAAATGTTAGGCACAGACCAATGTCGGATTGTTGGACAATAGATAAAAGACCGTGCTGGAGTGTAGTCTATTGTCGATGAGTGCCTCCTCCCAATCGTGCTGATTTGGCTGCGCAGTGGGATCCATCAATCTTTGTCTGATTCCTGCTTGGTTGAGTGTCAAGTAAAAGTGTATTTTCTGTAGCTTGTATGTAGGAATCTGTCTCTTGGTTTTTTCATCAAAGGCAAATACTTCGAGTGTAAAGTTGTGGTGTTGTAGCATGTTGAGAATGGCATGTTGAGTTTTTCTGGAAAGCTTGCGACATCCCCCCAGATTCCATCGTACTTCTTTGAGTTGATGTTGTGGCTGATGATGATGATGATGGTTGTTGCTGTCTTGTTGTTGTGATGATAATAATTGGACCAATCCATAGACAGGGCACTTACAATTATCATCTTTGTTTTTGGTGGTGACCACAAAGTCCACAAAGGACAAGAAGAGGCATTTCAATGATGTCTTTGGCACTATGGTTTGGAGTACTGAAAATGGCAACTGTACCCAACCACCTCGAAAGGAAGTACTGGATCTGATGGTCAGTGACCTCAAATGGGGCAGACTTGCCATGGCTTTGATTAGTTCTTGAAACTCCAGAGAGTTGCCTCCCGTAAAAGACTGCGCCACCAAAAGATCGGCTTTTTCGAGATTCTTCATACCACGCAATCGTCTGGTGGTTTCCACCAAGTCGTCGGCATCGTCTCCTTCCAACGAGACCATGACATGGAATTGTTGTTCCAACCGTGTGCGCTCGCTCATTTCGCTCATTCTTCAATTAAAATAAAACTTGATTGTATGTATGATGATGTTGATGATGTTCGGTTTTGGTTACTCTTGCTTTGTGATAGATTGTTGTTGTGTGATCGAACAGTTTACTCACTGGCTGGTTAGTATCTAGCTAGAGTATCCAATACATGCGAATGATGCATGCACGTGTTGACATGGCAATGCATCCAAACTCAAGCGTTCGCGAGAAGGCCACGAAACAGAACGCTTTCGCTTGCTTCCTGGCCCAAAATGAGAATGACGCGACGGAAGAGGAAAAAAGCGAATGACGCGCCGCCGCTACCACGCATGACTGACCACATTCATTTCTCCATTCTCCCGATGCATTTCCTCACCTTCCAGATTGAAGGATCAAACAGACGCATACACCCCACCCGTTGGTCTCTTGCTGTGTCCAATGCTTGCCTGCAAGAAAAGAAGATGCGTACATGTATCAACGATGACGACGACAATGTCCTGCCCGAGTGTGAACTCTGCCGTCGAAGATGCAAGCCACTGCGCTGTACGGGTTGTCGCCAAGTTGTGTATTGTTCGAGAGAATGTCAAAAAGAGGCTTGGAAAAAAGGACACAGAACAGAATGCAAACGGCCGATGAAACATATAAATAATAATGATGCTACTAATGAGAGCGATGCCAAAGCACAAAAAGCCTTGCAAGAACTCCAAACTCTGATGCTGTCAAAAGAAACCAACAATCACAGTCTAGATACTCATACTCTCTCGGCAGAGTACTACAAGGCCAAAGATCAAGTCGAGCGATTGACCAAAGAAAAAGAAAAAGCTGACAATGACAGAAAATCCAAACATGAAGAAGACCCAATACTGGAGCCGTCCATAAATACCACTGGCAGCCATGGTCCAGCAACCGCCACCTCCACCACCAATAACAACAACAGAAAACCTTCCAAAAACACAAAAACAACCAAAAAACAATATACTAGTAACATCAACCCAACAACCGTCGCAGTCCAACAACCAGACCCTCCCTGTCCTCCGCACTGGTGGGACTATTGGGTGGAACATTTGACTCGCATTTCATCCTATCAACTGGTCCTGAGACCAAACAACAACAACACCAATCAACCGTCCCTCACAACAACAAGCCTACCAGTATCAATAGACAATCTCGAAATGTCCGTCACACACAGCAAAGATGGAGAATCCTCATTGGTCGTTCTCCGACAACTCACCTCAGCCACTGAATGTAACCAACTCTTTTGTGCTAGACTGCAAGGAAAGATTCATTCACAGCCAAGTTCCTTTCAAGTCACACACGATGCTCTTCATATTCGACTACACTACCCACAACAACCATCCCAACTAATGGATCAGCAGCAAGACATGGGATTTTTGTCATCCACTGCTTCAAGTATACTCGACAAGACTACTGCCAATCAATTGGCATGCAAGTACTGTCATCAATCCATTCTAGCGCAGACAAAAACAACAAAAGCAACAACAATCATTGACCGAGTGGTCCCCTTGCCTTCTGCCAACTGGGATGAAATTGCAGATTACCTTATCTGTTACAGTGGTGTAAGTTATCATGTGATATACATGTCACGATCGATCAATCTACATGACTCATTTTCTATCTGCATTCTCATTGCTCTTGATGTTACAGCAAGCCACCTTTGACTTGACAACCTCGTCCACCAATGAAGCACAGGTAGGGGTTGTGCTTGTGGACAAGAGTGCCATATTGCTGCATCAATCAGACGTGGGAACTGCCGTCTGTGTTTTGGCGGTAGAAGGGTACGGAGAAAACCATACAACACTGCAGCAACAGCAACAATCCACAAGGACATCTTTGGCAGAAGAACTGGGCAACGATACACCCGCCACGGTACGCGGTCCTCGCGAATGGAGAGAAACCGTGGGAGGTGGAACTCTTTGTTGCAGTCAATGTTGTGCCGTGCTGGGGTTTGCTTCCATTACTTCGCCCGAAACATTTCGATTCTTGAAACATCGATTATTGTTGGTGACTCCTCCTCCACCGCTCGAGCAGCAGGTTGCTGCTGCTACAAATCCACTCATGTCGTGTACTTCCTTTGTGGTACAAGAAATGATTCGATACGCCGAGACAAAGGCCATTTTCACATTTGTCCTGGAACGAAAAAAGAGGTCGCCCTCTAAAGCACACCACCCCAATACACAACAACAACTTTTACTGTTAAAATTGCTCAGCTGGGATTGTCATTTTGCCACCAGCAAGGATGCGGCAATCTCCATAGAGGACGATTCTGGTATGCTGGCAGTGAGCCAACCACGGTTCCAGAGGTCAGCGAAACTCATCTTTGAGGAGTTGTGGGTGAAAGAATCCAGCAACAACAACAACACCGACCAAGACGCCAATGAGAGTGACCCTTCCAATTGGGTTTGGGGAGGAGCCGATCTTTGCTGCCTCCCAACGACGGCACGAGCAACGGAAATACCAAATGACGCGTCACCAAAGAATCCACTACCGACATCGATGCAACAATCGGAAAGTTCGTCATCGTCGTCAGTACGGTTGCTCTTGGAAGAAGATGAATGGGACGAGGTCAAGGACCATGTGCAAACAGGAAATGGTTTCTTTTCGGACGAGGTTGTGCAGGCCACCGTCATTGCAAAGCTGGGCCTTCGTAGCATTCCTGCTGCTGCCAATAGCAAGCAGCCAGCCGGACTGTGTTTGATTTCCCTTGACTAATGCTATTAATAAAACAGCTAGCTAGCTAGCTAGCTACTGCACTTCTCCATTCACCATCAGCAACCTCATCATATCATCATCGTTCAAGGCAAGACCGGACCAACACCTATGCCTACCCCTGGACGTTCTCCAGGCCCCACTCCTCAACCCACCCCCGGCCAGTCCAGGTGTTGGTGCTGCTGCTGGACTTACACCGGACCCCACTCCTGGACTTATACCGGGCCCCACTCCAGATCCTACACCTGGATCTGCCCCCGTCCATCTCCAGGCCCCCTTCCGGACAGTCGAGTCGAGTCTGCTAGGTCCAAGCCGCAGCAATCCGAGTCGAATCTGCACGCAATGCATCAGGAAGCACTCAAATATGACTGTTATTGATTGGCACATTGGCATACATCGTGAAGCAGAAATTGTGTGCACGGCGAGTATAATAATATTCATTCAATAATAAACTTCAGGAGGGTATTTCTGGAAGAGGAAGAGGAGGAATCAAATACTCTCTGAAGAAAGGAAGCTTGGGACCTTTCATTGCGGTATCCCTTCTGGTGTGCTTGGCATGCATTTGACTGAATTTTCTTTGACCCCATGAATCAAGTTGCCCTTTGCCACACCATCGCTTCGTTTGCGCTCAATTGTTTGGCGCTCTCGTCCCATGGTCATGTTGTTCCCAAAATGCATTTATCCTTGACATTGTGATTGGTTTGGGCAGCACTTCATCGGCACCATGCGTCTTGAAGAATTCGACATCTTCTGATAGGATGTTGCCTGTGATACCCACAACCGTGCCTACAAAACCCAGTTTTCGAATCTTTCGGGTGGCAGCAGGTCCTTTCAAAATAGGCATTTCAAAACTGCAGATGGCAGACATCATTGGTGAGGATTGCACCGTGAAAAGCTGCAGCAAAAGCCATCGATACTTACTCCATCAGAACGGTGTCAAACGGAACATGGCCAGGTTTCATCTGCATGTCCATGATGTCCTCTTCGATTGCATTGACTGCCTCCTGGCCATTCTCAACCCCTACACACGAGTGGCCAGCTCTCTCCAGTAGACGGATCAACATTTTGAGACTCGACACTGCATCTTCCGCCACCAAGATACGCTTGCCGGGGCATGTTGAGTGCTGTTTGTCTGCGCCCGCTGTTGTTGTTCCTGTCTGTGGACTTGCGGGTGGCTGCGAACACGGTACAGTCTTGTTTTCCCTGCCGGACTTCATTTCCTCCGTCGAAAGCTCGTAGAGAGGCAGCTCGATGATGAACATAGTTCCGTGCCCCTGACCTTCGGAATCTGCTCGGAGTGTGCCACTGTGCTGTTCCACGATGCCTTTCGCGATCGTCAGACCCAAGCCGGAACCACCTCCATGCTGCAAACGGTTTGCATCAAATTGGACCCCTTCTGTGAATAGCAACTTGAGCTGCTCTTTCGTCAAACCAATTCCACTGTCCTTGACCGTGATTTGGATAGAACCAGCGCGAGGATACTTGCTGCTAAAGATGGGTTCTCCACCCTCCCCCTTTTTAGATAAGAGAATTGGCACAGCGTTGGGAAGGCCTCCCGGAATATGAGCGGCCTCGACTTGGATAGATCCGTTGGCAGGTGTAAATTTCTGCAACATCAAACGTGGCAGGAAGAGAAAGTCTGTGAGTATACAATAACCAGCTCCCCAGGTCCGATGTGCAATCTTCAGTTGCTGCAAGAAAGGGACAACATACCAGTGAATTGGATATGAGGTTGCGAATGACCTGGCCCAGCTTGACATTGTCTCCAAGAACCGTGAGATGGTCTGAACAACCGCCGCATTCGACATCTTCCCCTTCCGGCAAGAAAACTGGTCTCGGCTTGACCATGTCGAATTTGAGATCCACTTTGCGGTTGACAGCTTGGATCTGGAACTGCTGAACTGTTCGTTCGACCAAATCCCAGACACAGACAGGCCCCGTCTCCAAGGTCAACGTGCCCGACTCAATTTTATCAAAGTTCAGCAGGTCGTTCAGGATTTCCACTGCTGTCTGAGCGTTCTGGCCAATGTCTCGCGTCACCTGGTACCACAAGTCCACATCCTCTTGTTTCACCTGTCCGTTTCCAGGGCAGCTGTCAGATATCTTCTTTGAAGTTCCTTTCAATTCAGCCTCAAGCAACTCGATCCCCATGCACAGGGTATTCATCGGAGTCCGAATCTGGAGAAAGTAGAATTCATGGAAAAGAAGAAGAAGGATGAGACTACCACAGGTCGCTTCACCGCCAGACCAACAACACTGTTCGGTACTTGCTGGTTCGTTCGTACCTCATGACTGATAAAGCGGACAAATCGCCGCTTCATCTCAAGGATGACATCCCGATGATGGGCTTCAGACTGCATCAGATAATCGTATAGGACAAAGACCAGGGCGCAAAAGGCAACCACAGCAAAGAACCCCATTGAGACGGCAATGGGGCTATTGGTGCTGAAGGAATCAAACATTTCCGCGGTGGGATACACTGTGAGCGTGTACACGGCGCTGGACAAGGCTCCAGTTTCCATGCCAGCATTTAGATGAATGTACTTGGCGTGACGCGTGTATGCATCATCGTGCAAGTCTCCAGGACCAATCAAATGGGGAACTCCCTCTCGGATTTCGTATGTGTATGAGGTAGTGTCTGTGGACACAACACAGGTCAAGCCCGAGACAAAGTCTGGAAAGGTCGTGGTCAATACTTCTTCCCAATGGATGCTGGTAGTTGCAAAGGCCACAATGGTAGAGGGATCATGTGCCGGATAGATAGGTTGGAACTGGGGAGTTGAAAGAGGAGAACAGTGTGAGGTTGGTTGTATTGATGATTGATTGAGATTGAGGATAGAGCAAAGGGGCTTACCAAGAGTCCAGCCGGTCCTGGACGGACCTTCAACTCCAAGATATCTGTAATGACGGCACAGGAAGGTCCCTGCATACTATCGATAATGTCAGATTGCGTCTCGTTGTCCTGTTGCAGCTGGTAGCGTTGAACGCAATCCAGCATGGAATCAATGTGGACACCTCTGTTCTCTTGAGAGTAGAGATTGTACAGCAGACTGCTGGCGGCAGGCTGGTTGTGTAGCATGAGTGGAGTGGATATCCTTCGGTGTCCATGCCAGTTGGAGGGTGGTTCAGTGGATGTGTCGTGAAGTCGGCAGTCTTGAAACTCACAAGCATTGTCTGACTTTTTGGGGTCTGGCTTCCAAAGCCCAAAGCCAAAGCCGTTGACGCCAGCGTCTTCCGGGCGCCCCTGATCTCGGTATACTTGTGCGGTGTGTTGTTCAAAGTCTTGGAGAATGGTACTCTCGTCCTCCAAGTCCAAGACGACCATGAGGGACTGTGTGGTTGTGGAAGTGAGCTGTGCGACCTTTTCGGCAATTGGGATGTACCCCTCCAGGGCAATGAATGGCCAATCTTGGGCCCGAGGAAAGATTTGCGCCATGAGCGTGGCCATGACCTGCGATCCCTGTGCCTTTCGGAGTGTAATGGCTTGAGCTCCCGCGAGGGCACTGGCTGCGATGGATTCGTAGGTTTGAAGACCGACTTGATGCTCAGCCTGACGCAGCACGCCAAAGGAGACGGCCGTGCAAATGGCAATAGCGAAGAGGAGACTGACCATGAGCAGAAACCTCAAGAGCACGGTTCTCGACAGACCGCATCCCTTCTTATTCTTCGGGTGTGCTCCGTCTTTGGGCGGGCCCAAGCAGCCTCCAGTGACAGAGCTCGTCACAGAGCTCATTCTTGATCTACCTGTGGCACCGGTGCCATTACTATTACTAGTACTCATCCTGAGAGCATCAATCTTCGACTTGGTATTAGTACTACCGGTAGTAGGTGCAGTGTCTTCGCTGCTGCCGCCATGGCCAGAACAACCGCTGCTATTGCTGACAGTGGCAGCGCCGTTGAAGGAAGAGTCTTGCATCGTTCTCATCATTCCGATTCCAGTTACTGAGGGTGGGCGAGGATTCATCTTGATACCGCTTGATATACCCTGCTGTACTACCGGTAGTATTGCAAAGGGTTCTCTGCTGTTTTGTGTCGTCGAACTGCGATAATAACTTCCCCTGCAATCTCCTACTCAGTGTTGGTATAAGGAAGATAGATACGAAAAAGAAATAGAAAAGGTAAGCTCAAGAACTCAAGAAATGATAAAGGAAATGTGAGCCACAATCGAGCGAATACAGTTATTACTGTGTTCATTAGAAATTGGAAATTGGTACACCCAGCTCTTGCCTTCCGCATTCCGCACGTAACTGGAACTCTGAATATTTATCGATCATCTACGAATGGACAACTATAGAATTAATATCGTTACCCTATGGTCACACACGCAGAGAAACCAAAAGCTTGCAGTAAGTCATTCAAGCTATTGACAATTTGACATCCCAGGGAAAGAAGAAACAAATGCCAGAACAACTGCCCTGTCAATAAGATACGTGGTGACGTGGTGAGATTGCACAGTGCCTCATTTTAATCTCCACACTGCCCTCTACAGTGTACTCGATCTACCGGTATGCCATACTCGTACTCCGTACTCCCAGATGGTAGAGACGTACTAGCTGGATCTAGCTATTGCCGGTAACCAGCCTTCGGTCTTGCCCTTTTTGGCTTCTTTGCATTATTTAATTATCCCAAATAAAATAATTACTGTACTACTAGTTAGCCACTGTAGTACCAGGATAATATGTAGTAATTCCTCTGATTTTAAGATTCCACTCATCACTACAAGTTCCAGCCCCGCGCCGCCTCGAGCAAATATTTAATACAGAAAGCAAGCTAAAAGGCCAAAAGCCAGGGATCCTAGCTGGCTAGAGGAGTTAAGGAAGTAACCCTAAGACAGAGATGCTTTCTGTTACAAGTCATAATCATATTTATGGCAAAAACTACAACTTCATCTTGAAGCCAATTCTCAATTCTCAAGCCACGTGCAGAATCGAATCGAATCGAATCTACTTGTATCTTCGATCACCTTTTGACTACATCGTACCCGGGGCCCAGGGCTGCGTGTGATGGCGGCCGGTGGTGGCTACCTGGTACATGTACTGCATGGAAGATGGCTGGGTTGTCTTGTCAGTTGTCAGCCCAATGCCAACCAGATAGATGTTCCCCTAGCCAGCTAGCATTCAGAAATGTGACAGGAAACTTTGAAGCCATTGCCGGCCTGTCAGACCAATGGGCCAAGTCCACAGCCACCGGAGCCCAACGCTACAAAACTAAGTTTTCTATTGGTACATCAGGTTCCAGCCAGCTACACTTAGAATGATGCATGACAGCTCAGATACAGTGCCAAGTTCAGCTACTAAAGCTCCATAAAATCTATTTCTTTGAAAAGTGACTCAAGATCGAGGGCACTGTTCCTTTCTTCTTTTGCCTCTTGCTGGTCCTGGTCGCCACCCTTGCTTGCCCCACAGTGCCCTTTCCTTGGGGTGTCTCACTTTTGGGTTGGAAAAATGACTCAATTGTTGGCCTCTTTTTAGGCAGCTTTGGTATGATTGGTTTGCTGCTGACTGTTGATTTGTTGGAGCCTGTGCCGCCCTGCCTGCCAAAGAAGGAGGCTATAGATTTTTGGACTTTGTGTGGCTGAGCTTTCTTTGTGGCAGGATCATTGCCTGCGAGAACCAAGTTACCCCATCCTTTGCATCTCCAGTGGCTTGGTGGATCCCCGTCACTTGCAGTGTCCCCAGAGCCACCAGCCAGTAACAGAGACACTGCCACATGGTCTGAGAAGGAAGGGGGAGTGTAAACAATTCCTGTGTGCCGTGGTCCAAACTGTGTGTCCAATGTTCGTTGTGTTGCTTCGGCAATCCCACCACCTTCAAAGGCAGCCATCCGAAATTGGCCTCGAGCAGTGGCTGCTGCCAAGGCTGCCTCTTCGGTAAGTGGATCCATCATTGCAACAGCTGCATCTGGATCTGATTTTTTGATTGGTGGATTGTTCTTGTTCCCAACAAAGGTCTCACCGGTTCGCAAAGGCCCTCCTTTCTCAAGGAATGCTGACAAAGACCGGTCCACAATGACATAATCAATCCGGGTACCATCATTCTCATATCTCCTGTTTGTGTATTGGTCCCAGCATGTGAAACGACCACGTGCTGAGGGGTAAAAATGGCGGAATGTATCAACCATGTCATCTTCTTCCAAGAGTTTGCTGAGCCATTGACGAAATGGATTACAACACATTCGTCCAGCATCAGAGGAATCAGCAATCGTTTTCAAGGTTTCATCACTCCATTCAACTTTTGCAATTTTGAACATCAGCTCTTGCAAGATGGAAAGGGCAACAGAGTTCTCTTGTTGCGTTGGAATCACTGCATTAGTGTCTGGGTCAATGTAGAACCCCATCTCATCAAAACAATATCCATATAAGCAATATTCTTTGACATTGCAATGCTTTCCCAGGGGAACGATTCTTGTTGGGTTGCTCATGGTGACTTGCAGACGAAACTTGTCAAACTTTTCACCTGTTTTGGAATTTTGTGTTTGACTGGGAACAACTTCCTTCGTTTTCATGGTTTCCACAATGAGAGGCCATGCCTCCGCCAATTGTCGCTTCCAACGAGGGAAATCATCTCGTGAATTGGAAGTTGTTGTGGTTGCAGCAGTTGCACTGGTTTGTCTGTGTTGCTGGACTTGCCGTAGAAGTTCATTGACATGGAGCACAAGATCTTTCCAGTAAACATCCAATTTGCCATGAGAAATGTTCAAATCTCCAGTGAGAATAACTGCCTTGTTATGTACTTCTCTTTGCTTTTTCATGGCTCTCTGCAAAGCCTGCAGAAAGCGCATCTTGTCCTTTACAGAGTGCGATCCAGACGCAGGGACATAAACATTAAAAACAACAAAATTGCCATGGTCCGTCAACACACAACGTCCCTGATTATCTAATTTTGGGTCTCCCAAGGCAAATGCATCTGCTGAAATGACAGTCCCCTTTTTTGCATAGGTGACAACTCCATTCATTCCTTTGCTGCCAAAGAGAACAGGAAAAAGGCAAGACTGTAACTGAGAATTGGACAGTTGGCAGAAGCAGTTTGCTAGCTACATGTACCTGGTTACGCAGAATTACCTCGGATCATCTAGGCGACAAGACCAGAATGATTCATATCCTTCCACATTGGCACATCCTCTTGGCTCTGATCTGTTGGTGAGTTGTGACTTGGGAATTTTTGCTTCCTGCAAGCAAACAATCTCTGGTGATGCATGCCTTTCAAAATATCCTGCGAAGACACGGCAATGTCCACCCAACCCCTTTTTTTGGTTTTTGCTGCTGCTGCCACTGCCTTCTTTGGCACCGTCACTGTAGGACGCATGAATTCTATGTACCACCGTGGAAAGACCGGCAACGTTCCAACTAAAAAGGAAGACCATGGTCGACAGGGCACGACGCTGTGCGGCAGCGTCACTTTGTCTCTTCCGTGCTCGGAGCTGACGGTGTCAAGTCTTGGCTGTTACTAAGCCAGGCAAGCTGGAAGGAGACACCGTCCTTTGACGGCTCGGATCTCGAGGAGACCGAAGCACCCACCGTCATGCGGTATTGGTACCTGTAACGGGATACCGGTACAGAATGGCTTTCTCTACTACTCTGAGCAGCCAAGGGCGGGAATAGTTTTTAGATTGGAACCCAACTCACAGCTGGTAGCCGTCAAATTATTTGCTAGCAGTTAGCTAGCTGTCTACTTGGGTTTAACGTTCAGTCTTCTTTGGGAGTTGGAACCGGGCCGTGTCTATTTACCAAAACTCACGATGATTCATCACCAAGAAATGGTGAGGCCAATTGCACAAGCTATTGAAGCCGGTACCGGTAGCTAGCGAGAGCCAGAAGTATTTCGTTGCAGAGAACGGGGAGTGTTTTGGTATGAAGCGGAGACAAAAGTTTCCCCAAAATTGTCAAGGAGCTGTCGAGTGCATTGCGTTCACTCGTCACTCAGCGATCAGTCCCTCAATCAAAGAACGAAGCCAATTTAGGGGACTGAAAGATACAACGACGAAAACAGCGTTTGAAAGGTAGGCTAGGTAAAGTTATATTTTATCAAACTTTGAATTTCAATAATCATTTACCACATCTACCTGATATAAAATAACTTTCATGTGACAGCTCTGACACCTGACACCCCCTTTCCCTACATTTCTTTTCAAAGCCCTTCCGATCAAAACAGTCCTCCATTGACCATTGAAAAATATTGGACGGAACACCTTGACTATATTCCAGCAAGTCTTCATCTCAGAGCGGTTGTTCGGAGGGATTGATTGAAAATGGACGAGTGTGCTGAAGAGGCTTCTAGTAGTGTGCGCTTCTCGGCCTCTCTGGCGAGGGGTTCCGTCAACAGTGGTGCTCAGTCATTTGCAAATGATGAATCCGAAGCTGCTGAAGCCGTTGCAGGAGAAAAGGATATCCAGAATGCGTTTGAAGTGAACCTTCATGATCTGGAGAGTCAGCAGCCATTGCATTCGAGCACCACTGCTGAAGAGCCTCCAAAGAGGGGATCTCTTGACGTCCCGACCCTTCACACAACCAATGAAAGCCGACCCAATGTTATGAAAGAGGAACCGCAAAAGTCGGCAGACGAGGAAGAAGTACAAGACTCAGTGAGAGACCTTCCAGCTACACGACGCAGTACGTTCGGAAAGAACATGCAAATCCCACTGCCTCCCCTCAATATCTGTATTCTTGTGTGTGGCACCCATGGAGATGTTCTGCCATTTTGCAGCTTGGCACACACCCTACAAGAGCTGGGACATCGAGTACGAATTGCCACACATGAAGTTCACAGAAATATTGTCCTCAATAACAACATTGAGTTCTATCCATTGGCAGGTGATCCAAAACAACTCTCTGCTTGGATGGTTGAAACAGGTGGGACCATGCTGGGAGAAGCAATGAATCCCGGATTGTTGCCGGCCAAAACAAAAATGGTCAAGGAAATCATGGTATCATGCTGGCCAGCCGTCACTGAGCCAGATCCCCAAGATGATGACTTGAAACCCTTTGTTGCGGATGCCATCATAAGCAATCCTCCAACCACGGGTCACATCCATGTGGCCGAAGCCCTCGGGGCTCCTCTTCACATCATGTTCCCTCAGCCATGGTTCTATGGAACTACCGAATTCCCTCATCCAATGGCGGGTAAGGACGATGATTCTGTACTTGCTTCGTTGACGCATCTAATTGATGCCTGACCTCATCTACTGCTCTTGCTTCCAACGTTGTTCTTCTAGGACTCAAGTACTTAAAAGGTGGAATTGGAAATATGGAATCATATCGAACGTTTGAAATCTTGACCGTCAGTGCGTTTGGGCCAGCTATCAATTCATGGAGACAAAACACTTTGCAGCTAAAAAGACTCAATTTTCTGGGTGGAATCTCTGCCGCCATTGTCGACAGTAAAATCCCCTTTAGCGCCATGTGGTCGCCTAGTTTTGTTCCGAAACCAGCCGATTGGCCCGAACAATGTCGTGTAGTAGGAGTAAGTACAAACGCGAACTGTATCAACTTTCAAATATGACTATGGCTTGCTCACATGCCGAAATCGTGCTCCCAATCTCTCCTAAAAGACCTTTACTGCCAACAAGAAGAAACCACTGACGGTGGGTGACAGCCACTACCCCGAATTCATGGAATGGTACAACCAAAGAGAAAACGACAAACCTATCTTCATTGGTTTTGGATCAATGGTTATCAAGGATACCAAAAACTTGTCGACCATGATCATGGATGCTGCAAAAAAAGTACAGGTTCGAGTGGTAGTCCAGTCCAACTGGTCCAAGCTGGAAACAAGTGAGGAGCCATTATGTTTTGACATTGGAGGATGCCCTCATGATTGGCTGTTGCCCAAATGCTGTGCAGTGATACACCACGGAGGAGCAGGGACAACTGCAGCAGGGCTTAAATTTGCCTTGCCTACTTTTGTTTGTCCCTTTTTTGCAGATCAGTTCATGTGGGCCCATATGGTTCACAGAGCAAAAGTTGGACCAGAGCCATGCCCTGTGCTGCAGCTGACTACTGAAATCTTGGCACAAAAATTTGAAGAGCTCACCAATGAAGAGACCAAGAAAAATGCTCTGGAACTCTCCGCCAAGATGAATGCTGAGAATGGCGTCCAAGGAGGGCTTCAGCACTTCTTGGACTACCTTCCACGTGACAACCTGTGCAGTGACATTGGGCTAATCATGGGAGAAATCAGGATTGGTCGTTTCCGTCTGAAGCATAAAGAAGTCAAAGTCGACACTGAAGTAGCGTCTCGACTTGTGCCAAAGCCGCACCGATACGAGTCCGTGAGTGAGTTCCTGAGGGCGATCTCAAACCTTCCTTGTCGTATGATAGAAAGGAGACAGAAGCGATGGCTACAGCGGCACGCAGTGATGACGCATGGTCTCGGTACTCCACGCACTATGCTCGGGGGAATTGGAGCTGGGTGTCTGGGTGCCATAAGGCCATTAGTCCTTAGTCCCTTCATGCTCTACACCAAACCAGACAAGTACGCACGGTCTCACGGTAAGCAAATATTGATGTTTGGTTTCGATGGTCTCAAAGTGGTTGTGGCAGATGATACATGTATTATTTACCAAAGGTGCCGACCACGATCTCACTGAATAATTTGTTGTTCCAGGAGCTTTCGGTTGTTTGATGGGTCTGCTTTTTGCTCCTATCTTTATCGTGAGTGCGATTCTCTATGGGTTATTCGTCGTTTTCTGGGACAGAGTTCTTCTTGGTTTCCACAACGGCCTGAATGGTCGAAGACTACTCTACGTTACAGACAGAAGAGCTCGGTTCAGGGTGTACTCTCCCATGCCAATCGTTGAGGAATTGCGAGACTTACCAAGACCCGTCGGACCAAGAAGGGATAAGATCGACCTAGCGCTGGAGATTGCGTCTGCCGCGAGCAATGTCTTTGAAGCTGCTGGAGCCGCTCTGACCGAAGATCACTGGCACTGGAAGGTGGCCTCGGCAAACGAGATAAAACAGAGGTTGGTGCCTGGTCTCAAGATTTTGACGCCAGAAGAACTCAATGTCGTTTCTCGGTTACTGGACACCGAGGGGAAGCACCTCATAAGTTTCAGCCGTCTCTGCCTGGTAAGGGTTGCAAATAGCGTTTGTGACGTGCGTGTATGTCGATGAATATCAACATTCTAATGTTTCTTTGCCTACATGTAAACAGTTCATTGGAAAAGCAACAAAGTATCGGTTTGAACGCCGCGACTCGATGTTAAGCCTGGTTGCAAGCTATCGAGAAGTTTATGGAACTCCCATTCATTCTATTGACAGCCTGACAAAAAGGAAGTAAGGATCGAGCGCTCGTTCGCTCCTCTGTGATTTGTGTTGATGTGCTTGGTGTCTAGACAACGCTACGGGTAAAAGTTTCTGGCCAGCCACGCCGGTTACCAATGGGTGTTGGGTTGGAAGTTGGCCTCGTTGCTACACGTACCAGGTACCTGTAGATGCAGCTGCAACAACCTGGTACCGACTAGCTAGCCAGCTAGCCAGCTGGATATTTATTGTACCGGTAGGGAAGCTCATAGCTTAAAATGTTTCCCGACAGTGGTACCGGAGAATCTGCGTGAAACCCTAGCTATGGGAACGGAAGTGGCCTCTTTGGTTGGTCATTCCCACCGCGAGCACGATTCCGCCAAAACACTTATTGGCCAAACAGACAAAATAATGCCGAGTAACCCTGACTGACTTCTGGTGGCTCTTTCCCTACACAGGGTCCTCACGAAGGGGCTAATAGAGGGCACCATTTTCGTTCCTCTGCCAGGTAGTATTCCATTGGATTTCATTATTTTACTATGCTATGATCGTGTGCGCTTCAAGGTCAATAGCAACCAGTCTCTCGGTCTTGGTCTTCTCGCCAAAGATCTTTATCATGTTGCCATCTTCATTATCATCATGACGAAATCCATATTTGTTCTCCAAAGTGGGAAAAACACATTGATCCGTTCCGAAACATTGTCCCCTGGCAGCGGATCTCTTCCCAGCTGTAAGCCAATAAACTTCATCCAGCCAGACCACGACTCGGACACAAACAGGGGCGTGACCACCAACGAGCCCCAAACAGAATCCAATGCTAGGTACGCCGCAACCTCACTGTCAAAGTATTCACACCCATCCTTTCCGACATCAAATTGCTTAAGGGCAACCTTCTGTCCACGCCAATTGGCCAGAAACACAACTCCATTGCGTCCATATCCAAGTGTTCCAACAATCTCAACATTTTCGATCGGTATCTTCGGCAAAGCAGACATTTGGGCTGCATGTCCCGCGGGTGCGTCTCCCCCCCCCGCTTGTTGACCGCACATCGCCACCCACTGACTCATAGCCGACGTCTTCTGTACGCTTTGCTGGAGGTGTGGGATGATCACAACTGGTCTTTTTCCATGTCAGTTGAGTGGCTAGAAGTGGCACACAAGGCTGGCAAGATGCATGGTGAACAAAAGCCCATGCTAGCAAGAAATTAGGCTCACCAATGAACCACGGGGAACTGATACGGACTTGTGCTTTTTCACCATCTCCTTCGATGAAGAGGAAATAGGCCCGTGTTGCTGAAGACAGAACACCGTAGCGTCTACCATTCTCGACCATCTCCCATTGTTTGTTTGGTCGTCAAAGAAATCATAGTATACAGTAGATGAGATATACCCTGTCTCTCAAGCTGCTAACAAGAGTTAAGCTATCATAGCTACGATATAGAAAGTGGAACGTGGGGGAGATGCCGAGAACGAGTCTGGTATACCAACAGTTATGCATATGCATAGTTGCTATTCAAAGGTTTGGGCGTGTCCAGAAAGTTTGTTGTTTGTTTATTTTTTCCTTCGCCTGCGGAGGGAAGGCGTGGTGTTGCGTTCGGCACGAGAGTACAGACCAGCTTTATTATAAGACAGTTGAGGGTGAGACTCGTAGAAAACGTACTGCGGCTACGTAGCCAAAATGGACCAAAACTCACCTTAAGCACAATGACTGTCTCAATGACCGAATGCCGATAAGTAAATCTCTACGAAATCGATGTATAAATAAAGTATCGTTGACGGATAGCTGCTACTAGTACTCAGTACATGGTACATGCTACGATGTACCCATACTGAACTCATGCATTAACATCCCTGCCAGTATGTTAAGCCTTGGTTTCTTGTTGGCTATACTTTGAGTGAGTTTCGCTTAATTAACATGTGCTCCAAATTGAGTCCCGCTAACTCAGTCATAACCCAGTGAGACAAAAGACATAATTGTGAAGTACTGTATTTTGTATAGTAAATCTCCGGTGTCTCTAGCTATACGGGAATGGAAGTGGCCTCTTTGGTTGGTCATTCCCATCGCGAGCACGATTCATCAATGAACCATATCGCACCATTCAACATGTAAGAAGCACGATCTGGTATCTGTGGAGTGGAGTCGAGTCGCGAGGGAAAGGAAAGGGCCACAAACTCAACCAATACTAGTAGACACAGAAAATGAGCACGGCTACATTACCAGAAAGCTACGACGATTTAGAAAATCCTCTCCACCAGCGGAAGCTTCCAGTCCCAAACCTCACAATTTGTATACTTGTTTGTGGTACCCACGGAGATGCTCTTCCATTCATTTGGCTTGCCCATGCATTGCAAGAGCTGGGCCATCGAGTTCGAATAGCCACTCATGAAACTCATCGAGAACTGATTCTTGGTGAGCTCATTGAGTTCTATCCATTGGCAGGTGACCCAAAACAACTCTCAGCTTGGATGGTAAAGACTGGAGGAACAATCCTGGGAGAAGCCATGCACCCACAAACATTTCCTGCCAAGGGGAAAATGGTGAAAGAGATTATTGAATCATGCTTCCCAGCTGTCACACAGCCTGATCCAAAAGATGCTGAGCTCAAGCCATTTCTGGCTGACTGTATCATAGCAAATCCTCCTGTCATGGGTCACATACATGTGGCTGAGGCCCTGGGAGCTCCTTTACATATCATGTTCCCTCAGCCATGGTTCTATGGCACTAATGACTTCCCTCATCCTATGGCTGGCCTGCAGTACGTTCAAGGGGGGCTTGGGAACGCAGAGTCGAATGCAGCTTTCGAAGTATTGAACACAGCAGCCTTTGGCAGTTTCATAAACCGTTGGAGATCCAAGACTTTACGCCTACCTCGATTGTTTGTCGGAAGCGGTCTGTCACAAGCAGTCAGAGAATTCAGAATTCCGTTTAGTGCCATGTGGTCTCCAAGCTTTGTGCCCAAGCCACAGGATTGGCCGGACTATTGTCGTGTCGTCGGCAGCTTTGTCCAGAAACAGCGCACCTGTAGGGTGCAAGTCAATGAGCAGAATTTCCTTAAGTTCTTGGAATGGTACAAACATGGTGAAAAACCGATTTTCATTGGGTTTGGATCCATGATCATAGAAGATACCAAAAAGTTGTCCGAAGTTATTATGGAAGCATCTCGAAAAGCTGGAGTCCGTGTGGTGGTGCAATCTAATTGGTCCAAGCTGGAAACATCCAAGCAAAATCTTTGTTGTGACATTGGTAGCTGCTCCCATGATTGGCTACTACCAAAGTGTTGTGCTGTTGTTCATCATGGAGGAGCAGGAACAACTGCAGCTGGGCTCATGCAAGGCTTGCCAACTCTTGTATGCCCTTTCTTTGGAGATCAATTCATGTGGGCACGGATGGTTCATCAGGCTGGGGTGGGACCAGAGCCATGTCCCATACAAAATCTGACTGCAGATATACTTGCAGAGAAGTTTCTGGAGTTGACCAGCGCGGAAACCACACAAGAGGCACAGCACCTTGCAAAGAAGATGATTGAGGAAGATGGTGTTGAGGGAGGGCTTCAGCACTTCTTGGATGGATTGCAAAGAGACAACCTCTGCTGTGATGTCAACCTTGTCATGGGAGAGGCTGAACTGGCTTGCTACAGAATACGAAGCCAAGAGGTCAAGATTGGTCGAGAAGTAGGAGCTTTGCTAGTCAGACCTGTGTTAGGCAGATCGCTCAGCCACCTCTGTCGATGGTTACCCGTATGCTGTTGTGGTGTGGCACTTGAACGGTATTCGCGACAGACCTACTCTCTCCCCAAAACTTTCCTTAGAGGTTGCGTGTCTGGTTGCACTGGCTGCTTTGCCTATGTGTGTTTCAGCCCATGGTATATTTTGACGAAGTCCTACAAGTATGCCAAGTCACACGGAGCCTTGGGCTTTTTGTTCGGGGTCTTGGTGTCTCCATTTTATGTCATTTGGGCTGTTCTTTACGGCATTTTTGTCGTCTTTGTAGACAGAGCGTTGGTTGGCCTTCTCAATGGTTGTTGTGGTCGAAAGGTACATTACGTTCTCGACCCAGCGGCTCGGTCCCGCCCTTTTTCGCCTCCGTGCTCCATTGCCGAAGAGTTGCAAGACCTTGAAGCACCATCCGATGAGAGACTGGAAGCAGTCAACGAAGCCTTGGAAATAGTTAGGAGCGCTAATCGGGTTTTCCGAAACTGCAATCCTGGTTTTCGTGACGACCACTGGAATTGGAAAGTCGTTGCAGCAAGCAAACTGAGATCTAAGACTTCAAAACTCAAATCTCTCACAGCGGAGGAACAAAGCAGCTTATCGCGGTTGCTAGAATTTGAAGGTCATCAAGAAATCAGTTTCAGCCGGTTTTGTCTAGTCATTGGAGAAGCGATTAAGCCTCGCTTTCAGCAGCACTAACAACGCTAGCAACGCTATCAAACCAACAATTAATCCACCATTCGTAAAGTCAAGCGTCGTCGCATCCTAGCAACGGTAGCTTATCCAATAGAGCTCTTTAACGGTAGCTTATCCAATACCGGTAGAGCTCTTTAGTCCGTCGGGTGTTTGTCGTTTTGTCCTGCCGTCCTGTGCCTGCTGGTTGAAGATTTGATTCATTCGATTCGATTTAATCGAATGGTGCAATCGAATCCAATCGAAGAATCATCTGTTTGGTGGTTCCGTGGTGCGAACAAAAGTTGTGGTCCAACGGTCAAAAGCGACACTTGACTCGACTGTCACTCGACTCTCGACTCACCCGCTCTCGGGGAGTGGTTTCGCTTTGGATCTTCTCGGCGTAACCGAATGGAACGCACAATGTTCCGAAGAGAAGTCTTGTGGCGAACTTTGTAGGGGGGCTAGTTGGGATTCGAAAACCGCTAGCTAGGCAGAATGTGTGCCTGTGCTGTGTAAAATACAAAAGCTGGTCTTTTGAGCCGAGTACTTCAATTTTTGAGGCTCCACCCCGACGTTCAAGTGTCCAAACAGCATTTGGAAAGCGAAAAGGAAAATGAAAAAGAGAGCCATAATACGTAGAGCTCGGTGCAGCATTCGCCTTGAGCTCGTTAATCATGCCTGGGCCGAACAACCAAGTGCTAGCGGCTTTCCTCTGGCTATTCTTCATGGCCGTGGAAGCCCGTCGGCATCCAGATTTCAATCCTCGAAGGACTGCCAACAACATGAGGTCCGACAACTATGCCCAAGCGGCAGCCCGACAGCAACAGATGCCTGAAACCTCTTCGCAGGAGAAGGACAAGAGTGATTCCGTTGACAAAATATTTGCCTATCCCTATGAAGACTACAGGCTCGAGAGCAATGGTCTCCAAGTTATCATTGTTCCTTTAGGTGATGACTTCCCTGGAATCGTCTCGACGCACATCACCATCACAACAGGCTCCAGAAATGAATTAGAGCCAGGAAAGACGGGGATGGCGCACTTTTTTGAGGTGAGTTATCCAATCACAAAGTCTGCCGGTACCATGGGACAGTACGCAATCTTGTCTCTAATGCCTGTTCATCCGTGGCGCAACAAACATGTCCTGGGCACAATTTGCAGCATTGGTGAGTGATATTATCAGAAGCTATCAAGCACACAGTAAGCAAAACTCGTCTTGTCTCTAATTCCTGTTCTTCCATGGCACAACCAATGTGTCCTTGGCACAAATTGCAGCATGTTCCGTGGAACCAGCAACATTTCATCCGAAGAATTTGATGCAACTTATGCTGAAATGGGAGCATCATACAATGCCTGGACATGGGTCGACACCACAAATTATTACGCAACATTCCCCAAAGCAGCAGCTGATGGCACCAACAACCTAGAGGTTATCATGCTGTATGAGTCTGACAGATTCAAGTATCTCAACTACGCAGAAGATGATTTCAAGACTGAAGCTGGCGCCATTTTGGGTGAATACAACTACTACCAGGGTAGGCCAATTCAGAAAGATGGACAGGAGGGCTGTTGCACGTGCATAAAAACAACTCACTGCATTGGTGATTGCTCTTGTATTGTCAGACAAGATTTGGAATACCCTTGATGAAGTGCGAAACAATCTGTCTTACGCGGTTCATCCTTACAGGCACCCAGTATTGGGAACCCTTGAGGATATCAAGGACATGCCAAATGAGCTAGAGTACAGCCGTGTTTTCTTTGAGCGCTTCTACAAGCCTGAGAATGCCATCTTGATGGTGTTTGGAGATGTTGCAGTCAATGAGACCAAGGAACTCATTGAGCAGTACTGGGGTGATTGGGAACAAGGAGAAGGCTATGTGTCGGATATTCCACAAGAACCTGCTCGGGAAAGCGCTGTGTATGAGCACATTGATTGGCCAGAAGCAAGCACCCCTTGGCTTTCTATTTCCTTCAATGCAGCAAACTTCACAGTTTCTGAACCTGACACAGCAGCACTGGACATCATTCAGTTTATGGTATTTTCGTCTGCAAGCTCACTGCACAGCAAGCTTGTGATTGAAGAGCAAGTTGTCATTGACTTGCAGGCATGGTATTACTGGTTCAAGGATCCAGCTCTGTTCATGATTGAAGCCAATGTAGCCAACATTGATTCACTATGGTATGTCAGGGATGAAATTCTGAAGGCTTTAGCTCAATTACGAACAGAAACAGTGTCAAATCAAGCGCTCGATAGGGTCAAGTCCAATCTGAAGTATGGGGCAGCTATGGGCTTCATTTCTACTGATGCCATTGCTGATGACATTCAATATTATGTATCCTTGACTGGCAACCCTGATAGCATCAACCAGCTCTATGCCCTTTATGACAAAGTAACCCCAGAGACCCTTCTTGCTGTTGCCAACAAGTACTTCACAGATGATCACCTTGCCACGATTTCACTATCTCATGCTGGTGACACACTCCCAGAACCTCCAACCCCAGCTTCAGCTGATGTCAACGTCATGGCTGGATCAGTTGATGCAATGGTAGAAGTAGCAATGGCTGATGATGGTTTCCAGATTGATCAAGTCACCCTTCCGAGTGAATCTTCCCAGTTGGTCCACTTTGATATCCGATTCCGTGTTGGGGCATCAGATGATCCTAAAGGCAAAGAGGGGCTTGCTGCATTGGCTACTCAAATGGCAAGCTATGCTGGAAGTTCTTCTATGACCTACAATCAGATCCAAGATCTTCTTTTCCCCATGGCAGCCTCCTGGGAAAGCTCTACTGGCAAAGAATACTCCTACTTCAGTGGAACAACTCATGCAGACAACGTTGATCGGTACTATGACATTATCTCAGAGATGCTACTTGATCCTGGGTTTCGCGAAGATGACTTTGAGCGCATCAAGACTGAGACAATCAGAAGCATCGAGGATGAGGTGTACAGTGATAGCTCTGTTGGGCTGCGGGCTTTTGATGGGACTATCTTTGAAAGCCATCCATATGAACACAACAAACACGGAAACATTTCCTCCTTGGAGAACATCTCTTTGGATGATGTGAAAGAGTTTTACTCCAGTTGGTTTACAAAATCGAATCTGATTCTAGGTTTGGCTGGAGGATTCTCAGACCAGTTCGTCAAGAAGGTCCATTCTGACCTGCAAAAATTGCCCGAAGGTTCTCCGCCTGACAAAAGCTTCTTGGAGCCACCACCTGCGAGGATTGCATCAAACGCCATCATTATCCAACAAGAGGCCACACAAGCAACAACCGTTACCTTTGGTTTTTCGCTGCCAGCAGGTATGATGTCCCGAGCACACCCGGACTTCCCAGCCTTGGTCATTGCCCTGAACCACTACGGAAGTGGCGGCTTTTCCTCCAAGCTAATGTCCGAGATTAGGGTGAAACGGGGTATCAACTATGGAAACAACGCTCGCCTGCGCTATGGCGGTTTGGCTTTCCAAGTGAACCTGGGTGCCATGGATACAACAGAGATTGCGCATTTCACTACCCGTCTTGCAATGTTTGAACTCAACAAGCTCATTTCGCAAGGGCTTACACAGCTAGAATACGAGTTTGTCCGAAACAGCATTGTGAATGTGCTGCCTGTTGCCGTTGACACTCCGTCCAAGGTTCTATCCTTGGCAATGGAGGGTTTAGAGTATGGTTTCGGGTCTGACTATCTTGAATTCATGTTGCCTGCCTTACGGAACACTTCGTTGGTCGAAGTTAATGCCGTCGCCAAGAAGTGGTTGCAAGATGAAGCAGTTTCCTTCGTCTTCGTCACCCCCGATGCAGCAGAGATGCACTCCAGACTGATCAATGAGACGGAATCTACCATTAGTTATGATGCGGAAGACGTCCCAGTAGAGGTGATGTTTGACGACGAAGTAATCAAGGACTACCCACTTGGTTTGGTGCCCGAAAATGTGGCTATTGTAAGTGCATCCGACTTGTTCGGAACTACCGTTGGTGGAATTCAAGCTGGAAGCGAGGCTGTGGTTTTGGAGGATGCCAACCAAGTACTGGGCTTGAACGAAGGCGCGAGCACAAACTCAGAAGAAAAGGAAGATAGTGGGGAAGAAGAAGTTGCCACCGAATCCAGTTCCAGTTACAACGCCGAGAACGGGAACGACAACGACAGCGACAACCCCAATCCCAGCAACGACAACGACAACGCAGAAGTCGAAAGTACTGTAGCGAACGAAGGTGACGACATTGATACGATGGACATTGAGGTGACTGATGATTCGCAAATCGTTGCCGACAGCGCTGTTCAAGCAAGCGGCTGTCGAGGTTTGGCCTTGGCCGTGATTGGATATGCTGCAGCTTTGCTTGCGGGGCTCTTCATGGTATAGTACTTTTGCTGAGACTCAAGCCCGTAGAATTATTACTCGAGTTCATGTTTCATGTACATGCATTTCTCCACTTCCGTTGATGCTAGCTAGACAAGTTTCTTCCTGGAAAATTGCACGAGCACTTCCATTCTTGGTCCCGGCAATCGATCAAGGGGTCACTTCGTTCACCTTGACGGCAGGACCACTAAGAATAAACATGCATCCCATGCGTCGATGTCGCGCGGGCTACCGTACGGCTGTAGCTCGACCGACATCCCAAAGTTCCGTGTCACAGTTTCCGGCACGACATCCCGACAAGTCAAGGTTAAACCGTTCAATAAGGGAACGCCCGGAGCCAGGAACGGAGGCTAGCTACCGGTATTACTACAGTGTGTTCGCGATTATATTTATAAACGTATATTTATATTCTCCAGTATATTTATGGAATTTCGATGTTCCCCCCTGAGTCACGAGTGACCGTGACTGACGTCAGTGCATGTGCACAGATGAAGATCCCCAACCGGACGATCTGTTTGCCTCCATTGCAGAAGCCGAAGAGGCACTCAACAAGCTCTCACTCAGTGCCTCCAGTTTGGGTGTGAACCCGGCTGCCACCGTTCATCTTGACAGGTTTGCAAGGGCATTGAATATGGCTAGGGGAGCAAAGGCTGCCAAACAAAAACGTGACGGCACTCTCCACGCGTACTTTACTAGTAAATAGAGCCTATATTTATATTCTCTAGTATATTTATAGGAATCCGTATTACCCCCATATAAATATAGTCAAGAACTGACTGTAATCGTGCAGAACTGGTTTCAAATCAAGAGCTAAGCAGGGCGACTTCCAACTTCAAGAAAGAAAATGCTTTCTACGACAGCACCCTGACACTACGAAGTTGTTAGCATTCCTGAGTCCAGGTTTCCGCGATGATGACTTCCAGCAACTCAAGACTGAGGCCATCAGGAGTCTGGAAGCCACTATGACCAAGGGCACATCTGTTGCAATCAGAGCATTGGGGGGCACTATTTGCAGACCATCCTTTCCTTTCGAGCACGACAGTAAGGGAACTTCTGCATCACTTGCCAGTATCACACTGGATGACGTCCAACCCACTTCACAAGGCAAAATGTGATTCTGGGCCTTGCTGGAGGGGTATCAGATGACTTTGTAAATTGAGTTGAGGGACATCTCCAACAGTTGCCAGACGGTCCCGAGGACCACACCTTTGCTGAGGCGGCCGTTTCCGTGCAATGGCGCGTCACTATGAGTAAGGTTGTAGTGATGGTTTCTCCCATGCTGCGTTCGGATTGTCATCCTTGTTAGTTCAGAGATCCTCGAATTTGCATTCATCCAGAAGGGCCCGTGCATTATTAAGGGTTATAGCCGGCACCCCTACTACAACCTCGCTCGTTGCCCGCAGGAATATCACAGCTCGTGCGCCCCGATGGTGGAAATTGTTGCCAAGTCAGCGCATCTATCCACGCTGCACCGGGATACGTACACCATACTAGCTACTAGTCGTACTACCGGTAGCTCTACTAGCTATGATAGTAGAGAGTACTCCTGCTGGCTATCGGTGGTGCGCTTCCTGTCACCGTAGCTAGCTAGAGCTACATAGCCGTCTCTGCTATGCATGGGATACGGTAAAGGTGGCTACGAGCTACCCGCAGCCAGCTAGCTCGCTAGTAGTTGTTTTAGTAAAGATGCATTTTAATAAACATGATGCATTAGGATGCATTAGGATAAGTTGGTGGTACCACTGGGTACAAGCAGGCGCGTCTGTGGCCACATGGTAGATAGTACCGAAGGCGATACCGGGACGCAATGAAAGACAGAAAGCACAGTCATTGCTTGTTCAAGCAGCTCCAGCAACATAAGGAGCGTTGACAAGAATGAGGAATATGTTCAGGAATATGCCCTCTACCTCAGATTGCTCCAAATGCTCCGGGCGTCGCTGAGGATACTGCATCACATCCCACACGTGGTATAACATCCTTCTGGCTAGGGTATGTTGACCCAACTCGGAAAGGAGGACGGACTTGTTATTCAACGTCGCCACAACGAGGTGGGCGCAGTCGTACTCCATACTCTTTGCGCTTTCGCTGATCAGCCGAAGACAGAGCTCATAGAGATCAAAAATCTTCTTCAAATCCCTGCCTTGGGGGTTCTTTTTAGTGGTTTGGTAGGTCACTAATAAATTGAACACCACGACACTGACATAGAATGTCAAATCGACGCTCGTAATGGTGGAGTTGGGATAGAAGACCATGGCCTTGCTGTAGAGGTACGGTTGGCCCTGATTCTCCGGCGACGTTTCCGTGTCCGGAGATGCCATAGGCGACCGAGGCACAGGCCACAACACCTTGACTTCGTCGGGATTCGCTTCCTGAGGAGGCGGCTGATCGTCTCCCAGCTGCGCAACGAGCCGAGCAAATACTTGTAGGGACGACTTGAACGACTTGCATGCTTTCTTCGTATCTCCCGCGGCAAGCAATGAGGCTCCGGTGCTATTGTGATAGGCTGCTCGACGAACTTGATCCATCCTTACGGCATGCCAAGAAGAAGAAAAAGAAGAGGAAGAAGTAGTGGCTGTATTCTGGGACATGGCGGAGTGTCAGGGATGGGCAACAGGCTCCAAATTATTTGTGTGGTAGCACGCTTGCTACCCATAGAGCAGCAAGAAATGTTCGGGGTTATTGAGCCGCGACGCGGTTCCATTCTCTGCAGCTGACCTGAAACTCCTGGTCGACTCGCTTGACTCGACTCCAGAACCCGGGCTGTAGCAACGCAGAAGCTGCATTCAAATGAGCCTGACACTTGCTTCTCAATTAATTATTCTTGTTGTGCATTCTCGAGCTTCAGTTTGGATCTCAGTCCAACGTTGTTTTTGTTCTCTAGCTTATAACTTGATCAGCGTTAAAATGGACTTTAAGTGCGTGCCTCAGAGGTCAAAAACGAAGAAGCCACATGGCATCATATCATTGTTGGATAATGCACAGCGACGCTCTAAGCCTTCCGAAGAACATTCGGCGAGAAAGCCGATGCCGAGCGAAGCATTGACCAAACGTACAACGTACAGCGTACGGAGCAATGACCTCAGAAAAATGTTAGTACCATACCAAGCATTGACCAACTGGACCATGCATGGATGAGCGAGCAGCTCCAGTACCGGCACTGTGCACACAAGTGGTTGTCACGTTGCCATACCGGTACATCTATTCATCTATCATATTTATTTGCGCTGTTGTCAAAGACTTCTTCAAGTTTCCTGGTGAGTTCTGAAGTGGTGCTGCTTTGACTGCAGCACTCGCCAGCCTATCTGCAATCTGCAAACAAAGTCATCCAGCTGGAAGACATCATTGCAGTTCATTTCAGGTAGATATGGTAAATGCTGTACATTTGCCTCAACTACCTACCCGATATAGTATATTGATGTTCTCAGGGTGCTCGCTGGTGTTTAGCTAGTACTGCAGGAATAAGAGGGACGCCTCGGAAAGCTAATGTGGTCGGATAAAAATAGGGGCGCTCGGAAAATAATGAACATCGTAGCGACGGTTTGAAAGCGGTTTCCAACAAGATCCACATCGCGGGACTTGTCGATGGGTTGGTGCCAAAGATAGGCTAATTAGGTCTGTCATCTCTTGGATTGATTCGATTCGATTGAATGATCATTCCTTTTCCGTCAGCAAAAAACTTGGTACTAGCTAGTGCGGTACTGGTAACCAACCAGAAGAAGACGAAGTACCAGGCTCAATGCACTGCGCAACGCCAACACTTCACCCCCTTTGTTGTTTCTGCTGATGGCCTCTTTGCCGCCGAAGCTACTGCTGTTATCCAACGGCTTTCCCAGCTTTTGGCTGACAAGTGGTCCAAGCCCTACTCTGTGGTCAGCTCCTTCATCTCTGCCAGGTTGAGCATAGCACTCTCCTGGGCAGCTACCATGTGTTTGCGAGGCTCTCGTATTCCAGCTATCAAGCTTTCCAAGCATTAGGATGACCGAGGTGCCCTTGATCTCTTCCGCTAGTCTTACTCCCTTGATCCTCCCTGCCCCCCAGCCACCTTGCATCCCCTCCCTCTGTGGTTTTGCTGCTGCTCTGCTCGCTCGATCGATTGCTCGGCTCGTGTTTGTGCATCCTGCTATCTCCCTGCACGGTCCTCTCCTCACCATAGTTCCCTCTAAGCCATACCGGTAGTAACCAATCCTTTCCTTATGCATGCTAGCTAGTACTAGCATACGGTACGCAGTACTTCTTAGCAAAACATGCCAAATTTGAAGTATTTAGCTAGGTAGCTAATAGAAGTATGCATACTGTCGGTATCAGGTAAGTCTACTGAAGTTGCCCAAGGCTGGTCTCCCATGTCCCTTGCATGTCCAGTCTCCCATGTTGGCATAGCTGTTGAAATCATGTGGTTCAAGCCATTTCCAGTCTTTGCCTTCAGTCACCTTCTTAAAAATAGGGATTGACGGGTCGACAAACAGACCCCAAATTAACTTCCTTCAGTCGTTTGCAAGATCCGGTTTCACCAGGTCCTCTGTCGTTCGAAATCTGCGTCAAAGAAAGAGGAAAGGCATCATTTTGACTGCGGGAGTTTTGTTTTCATTTCTGAAGTGCAGCTGTTGGCGAGGAGCTGGCCGAAGGAAGAGGAAAGGAAGAAGAAGAAGAAGAAAGGAAGATGACAGAAGCAGCGGCCGTTGTGTCCAATGAAGCGTCCTCCGAGAATAAAAGCGTTGAAGCGGCAGAGAACCTTTCTGTTCCAGTTTTGGTGTGGAGCGAGGTATTGGCAAGTCCAAGCGTTGGAGACACGTATTCTCCTGCACGAGAAATTGGAGACAAGAGTTGCCTTCATGGAGCAGGTGCGTTCCTCTTGACATGTTGTCTTTTGTCTTCTCTGTCAAGTTTTCTCTTTGTTTCTCCTTTTATTACTTATTTTGCTCATGTTCTGTTTTTCTCTGTAGGACTCCAAAAAGCTCTAGACCATGGCAAGTCGACGGCTAGAAGCGGGCGTCGGGTGGCTGCAATGTTGTTGGAAAGTGCCAGTTGCTATGAACAATTTGGAGTTTCCCTGATGAAAGCTTGTCAATCCAATCCTCTGGAAGGCGACGCCTTCAAGTCAATTCTTTCTCTCAGCGAACAAACGCGACAATTAGCGATGCTTTTACGAGAGGAAATTGCCATGCCGTTGCAAGGCTATCACACTGCTGTGGGAGACACCATTCCTGTCATTTCCAGAAAATATGAAGAATCTAGAAGACCGGCCTATGAGGCACGGCAAAGGGCCCTTGTCGCACGCAACAAATACTTGCTGGCTGTGGAAGCCGCAGAACAAGCTTGTAGTGAAGTGCAACAGGCTCTGGCTTCTCCGGACAGGGAAGAAGCAAAGGAGTCCAAAGAAGAAGAGCAAGAAGGAACTAATTCACAGGAAACCGCCAAACTTGAATGGCAACGACAATTAGAGCAGTATGGAAAAATCAATGGACCCGAGGCTATGGATCGCGTCACGCATCAGTTGAACGATGTTATTGCTTTGCAGAAACGATATCAATCCTTGGTACAAAAAGAGAATGCTGCCGTTCAATTCTCTCAGACAAGCGAATCCATCGCCTTGGAAAGCTTGCAGAAAATACAAGAGCAGCGCCTATGTACATTTTTTGACGCTCTTGTACGCACTTTTCGAATCATCAAAGATGCTCTGGACAAACTCATCATTTCCGCCGAAGAAAGCAGTAGCTTTGATGAATCCTCCAACAAACAGCTAAGAGTTGTACAAAAGAAGGGAGAATTTTTTTCGGCATTTTTGAAAGGAGGCGCCTTGCTGCAGGAAAAGACTGGCGTGGCAGATGCGGACAGTTTGGGTCTGGACGAGGACGTTGGAAAACTACGGGATGAGATGAAAACTAGGATCGCTCAAAGGCTTGCGAGAATCAAAAAGGTCAAGGTCCTGGCTGCCTTCTTTGACGACGTCTCCTCGGCAGCTGCTAAGCTTGGCAACGACCTTCAAAAGGTAGCCAAGCATGAAGATTCGTTCGTTTCGAGGTGAGTAACATACATGTACAAGTGTGTCTTGATTCAATTCATCCCATAGTCGTTCTTGCTCACCAATCAAGTTCCACGCAGCAAAGGGACACCGGTCGAACACCTCCGAACGCTAATGTCCAATTGTGAAGGTCCCCGCACCCTCCGTCTCTGGGCAGACTTTATCAAATGCTTAGAAAGAGAAGCAGAGTCATCACATCAATTCGCCAGAGTGCTCAAAAGCATCAAAGCATCGAAACTGGACAATTTTCTCGCGACGAGTGAAAAGCAATGCAAGGAAGTAGCCGAACAGGATGACACGCGCTGGAAACAACTTTGTGAAGCAGCAAGGACTGCAATGCGAGCAGACGCCAAGTACAAACACAACACAGCGCAGACAGCAAAAGCCAGAGAAAGAGTTCGGTCGGTCGATATGGACAGTACTAGTGTCGAGAGATCGGGAGCAAAGTCGCCTCTGAAGGGAAGTCGTGCCATGGACGGAATGAAAGACGGAATGAACAAAGCCTTTGGTAACTTCCTCTCGATACTACCCGACGGCGGGGAAGGTGCAATGCAAATCCTCACTCCAGATGCTAGGCGCGCGGTGGCCGAACGTGCCGCCAAGGAAGCGGACGAAAAGGAAATGAGGGGGCGCCAAGCACTCGACAACGCCGTAACCTACAAGAGCAAGGCACAGGCTTCGTACAAATCCAAAACTCAGGCACTGGCGAAACAGTACGAATTGGAAGAAATGTCAGGGGTGGAAGATATCCAAGCAGCAATAGAAGGACTTTGTGGATGCCTTAAAACCCTTCAAATCAGCCGGTATACATCGTTGGAGTGCCTATCAGAGCTCGGGGAGCAGCCTTTGGAAGCAGCCTTGATAGATCTTGACGACTGGGTGAAGGAAACATCCCTAGCGAACAACAACGCTGTTTCGAAGCAGAGTGATTCTTCTCCAACTGGTGGTTTCATGTTGAGTGTTGTTCTCGCCGATTCGGAAAGTGCCAAACGCGTGCAGACATTTGCGCAAATTGGAACTACAGACAGCTTTGAAGAAGAATCAGAAGACGACGCCAGCGATGGTGGCGACTTACGGGTCGCAAGCCAGGATAGTAATCGATCTTTGGAGGTCAAGAATGACGATGACTTGACAAAAGCGGATTCAGGCACTGGGCAGCAGGGCAAAAAGTGGCTGCAGAAATCGTTTTCCACTCCTATGGGGAAGCCTGGATTCAAAAAGTTCCGAAAATTCCACAGCCTGGGCGAACCAGAAAAAGAGATTGGTGAAAATGCGGATGTGGACATGGCCGATGACTTGACGGAGTCATCCACTATATCGACAACCATTGGACCTCAAAACAGCAAGGAGTCCCTCGAGGCCAATACCTTTTTGGCTTTCTGGCCAGACTTTGAAGGCCCACCTCCTGGCGTCACGCATTCATTTACCTGCGTGTTCCTGCCAAAGGACTGTACCAAACGAACGATTGGATCTGTCGAATTTGGGCGATTGTTTTTGACGCATCGAGGAGCCGTCTTTGTAGCATGGCGAGGCAAGAAATCAGCAATTGTGCAGTACTCGGCAATGACTGGTCTGGCGAAGCAAGATAACCTCTTCAGGCCAGCGGTTGGCGACACAATGCTCGTCACTGCTCAAAATGGTGCATCCCTTTTGTTGGGCAATTTCGTCCACAGAGACATGGCCCTGGATATCATTGAAGGTCGTATTGCTGAGGCTAAGAAATCCCGTGCCGAAGCCGAGGCGGCCAAAAAGGTCGAAGCGACCAAGGAGGGTGTATCCGAGGACAAGGAGCCTTCGTCTGCGGTACCAGTTGCTGCCGATCCCACGCTGGCGAAGATGGAGACAGTCTTGAATAAGAAGATAAGAGGTGTCGCAGTGAACAAGTTTCAGTAAGTATGAACTGAGTCTGAATCCAAAGTCTGGTCTGGCCTGGTTCCCTTTCTGATCAATCGACTCATCTCTTCGTTTTCGTCTCCCTTGGAAAAGCGAAATCGTTTGGTCGGATACATCGGACAATAAGTCCCTTTACGGAAGTTGGTTGGGCTCTGGAAATTGCTACGACATTGTTGTTGGACAATGGGAGACTTCAGGCGATGCTTTCACGTCGCCTTGGAGCGGAGAACGTTTCAGCCAAAAACGCAGTGTGAGTTTCCAATTGAAGAGGAACAGTATGATTGGGCCTCCCGTTGCCGGGGTAAATCAAACTCAGTACTGCCGCCTAGACAACAACGATCGTTCCACAATGCACATGACTGTGGAGTTTCAAGGAATTCCCTATGCCGACACGTTCCAAGTCGAGGTTCGATGGGTGGCCACGCGATCTGGAACTAGAGATCTCACAGTACAGGTTGGTGTTTTTGTGGAGTTCAAAAAGTCCACATTGCTCAAGAGTCAGATAAGAAACGGGACTCTGTCCGAGACCAAGCCTGTGCACGAGAACCTGTTTGCGTTTGTCAAAGAAGCTTTGAGCAAGGAAATTGCTGCCGATGACGCTGGTGGGGACGACGAGGTCGAAAACGAGGACGACAACGTGGAGTGCGAGGAGAAAGCGTCTGAAGGTGGCTTGCTGGCCACGATCAAGAACGTCGTTCCTGAATTCCTTGCAGATAATATGCATATTGTGGCGCCAGCTGCCGGCGTCATTGTCGTCGGTCTCCTGTGGTGCCTGCCATCGTTGCTTTCGCCTTCGAATCCAGAAGTTGCCCAACTTCATGCCCAGATGAATTCCATGCAAGCTGAAATGAAGCAGATGCGAGAAGCGATACAAGAGTTGACAGCGGCGATCAAGCAGCAGCAAGGCAACAACTAGCTACATGGCACATGCCATACGGTACCCTTTGGAAAGCCATTAGAATAAGAAACCCTCATAATAAAGAAAGACTAGTAGATTGTTTAGTGCCCAAAGTCCCTTTCTCAATCTACATCCTCGATGGACGAAGATTGATGGTCCTCTGTCTGTTTTCGGTCATTCGACTTGAACTGCGCGGTGACATGCAAAAACTTGGTAGAGGATTTGGAGGAATCCTTGAGTGCTTCATCCAAGGGCTGAAGCTCATGAGAAGGGTTCTCACCATGATGGAACCATTGGTCCATAAGCCCGGGGTATGGGGCCTTGCTGGAAGAAGCAGGAGTCTCGTTCGTGTGATGTCTGGCGGAAAGCCGATACCTGCTGAGCTGCATCCATTCAACGTGAACTTCCAGTTCGTCGTCTTGTTTCATCATTTCAATAACCTGATGGTAAGCACTTCGATTATATGGCCCGAACAAGTGGATACAGTTGCTGTCACTTTGTGGTTGTCCCTCCTTATCAGGATCCCTATGGAGCAATGATTTGAGGGTTGCTTTCAAACTGGCAACGTCCTGTCTTCGGTAGGCACAGTCGCATGCAATAACCGTATTGTATTTCTTCTCGGGCCGAGTGGAGGCATCATTGTTGTGGTTGGTTGACGCATGGAGGACATCATTCCAGTCTAGTTTCTTGGCTTGTAGAGGAATGTTGGCATCTGGAATGTTGTGTACATCTATTTGGTGTGTTGTTGTTGTTTGTTGGCCAAGATACCTCGCCAGATTGTCTTGACACTGCTGCAAGACTTGTTCGTTGCCATCTGTGAGTGTAATCGAGCAGGTGTCTTCCTCTTGCAGTGGCATGTATGCTCTGGTTTTGAGAATGTGATGTAGGAGCATTCCTCCCAGCCCCACCCCACTGCCCACTTCGACAATGTCACCCTGAAGCAATTCCTCTGTGTGATGTGTAAAGTACAGTGCCATGGCCATGGAAGCTTCCCATGTTGTCCCACCTGTTCCCAACTGGCGAGTGTCGGCTTCTTGAAGTTCAATGGACACGGTCGACCGAGGATGTGCCCACGACGAAGGAGACGCGTAGAAGGGCTCCTGGACGGGTTCTCGCAACACAACAGTCTTTGTCAACGCTTCCAGATTGTATCGTTCTTCAATCGTCCATCGAGAAGAAGAAGAAGAAGAAGTCCTTGGGTCTTCATCATCCACCAAGTGGTAGCACGACCGGGCAATCCCCTCGCGTGATACGTGCAACTCATCTCCTTCCAACAAAAGAAGAGGCTGCTGCTGCTGCTGTTGTTGAACTGGCAAAAATAAGAACTGGTGGGGAGATGTAGACGCTGTTGTCGTGGAAGTGTTGGCAGTACTGGTACCCGTGGACTGTGCTGTAGTACAAGTAGTACTGGTAGTATGGAAAGTCACTCGGTGCTGGCTGTTCTGAATATGATGATTCTTGGCGTTGGAAGGCCAGCCACCAGACCTCAGAGAAGCTGCCTGGATGCCTCGATGATGGCTTCGAAGATTAGATCTGGGAGAATCTGATCGACGACTTGACGAAGAGGTGATGCGAAGGGGGAGACGGGGCGGCATTGTTTGTTGCAATGGATGGATACAGTCGTAGATGAGAAACTTGGTGGGAAGAAATTACTTCACGTGAAATTGTGGTTCAGAGGACCACGCTACCGGTACCTCTCCGGTAGTTTGCGGAGAACATGCAATGGTGAAGCTCTTGTCTTCTACATGTGAAGGTCTCCAGTTCCGAGATACTCTAGCTAGTAGACCAACGCTGTCACTCAACAGTCCCTGCGGTTATTGCGGTACTGTCCCACCACCAGTGCCGGTGGAGCGGCGATAGCTGTGGTGATGGTGGTTCTCGATGTTTGAGAAGCCAAAGCCAAAGATCCAGGATACCATATTCAAGGTCGCGCATCTGCTCCGTATTGAATGAATGATTAATCATTCGATAACCCTAATTCTTCGGTCTCAAAGGATTCTGGGTGGTACCGGTATCACCCAACTCAACGGCGTCGCAACGTCAAGGGTTCACGAACTACAATACAACATGTATTCGAGAGGCGGCATCCACCCAGTGTAACCAAGCAGAAAGCTCAGCTTATCAGTCAGTTTCAGTGTTTCGGTTGCCTGTGGAGGTCAGATTTATAGCTCTCGATCAGTTCACTTTAGAAGAAGGCCGTTCTGAGATCGGGTTGCGGTTGTGCAGTTTGGTTCCGAACTACTAACACTAGCAAGTACATGGCTGTACATGTACTAGCTAGCTAGCTAGCTAGCCAGGGTTGGCCCAAGTTCCTGGACCAAAGAAGCAGAGGTCAAGAGTCAAGAGTCAATCCTCGTCTACATGTATGCAGGTTTTTAACTTGCCATTGATACTGCGACCCTGCGCAGCGTCAAATTGTCATCTTTGGGCCGGCCTGACCTGCTCTAGCTATGTACTAGTAGCTAGATCTAGAGAGTACCTTGAGCTGCTTCTAGCTAGCTAGCTACCGTAGTATGCCCTATAACGTACGGTAGTCGCTCCAGCATCAAGCCAGCCAGCGAAACCTCGACTGGACCACCTACTGGAGCTCGATAACCATTGTTGGCCAGGTAGACTACTGTTGGTCTGGGATTTTTGGAGTCGAGCTTTTAAAGGTTAGACCTGGAGCACCAGTTCATCATCACAAACTGCATGGTGTGTTCGCACGTTCGTACAGTTCAAGGAGATACAACGAGCCCAACAAGCTTTCGTGCCATTCGTTCTGGGTTTGCTGATGATCCACATGACCTAAATGACCTTGTGAACTTGGACGAAGGGCCCCAACTATAAACATAGAAGTACCAATGAGTGACCAGAAAGTCATTTTCTTTTACGATTGGGCTGGTACAAGTCTATCCTATGTAAAGATGATACTGAATCCTACGTGTATGTGCCATTTGCAAAGGATGGTTGAACGTGCCCTCTAAATCTCTTCTACGACCACTGTGCAACCTCTCGCAGTCCATTGGCATGCGATGTTGTGGCATCCAAATCCACAAGGCCACCAAACGAAAACAAAGCCAAAGCCAAAGGAGGATCGAGGATCAAGCAACCCAGCAACGAAAAAGAAACAACGCTTGACTGTCACTCACAAAAACTATTCTTTTTGTCCTTACCTTTATACAGTACGTTATACACACACCAATAGACCGAGAAACAATGCAATACCTGAGCCTCTTAGTAGCGGCTTCTGCCATCTACACAGCTTGCGCCGACGGCACGGCTTATGTTGGAAATCAACGAAAGGTCGTTGACGGAGGAGCGAGTTGCTTGATTTCGGAGCCCCTTGGAGAGGGCCAAGCATACTACTGGAACGCTACCACTGAGTGTTATTATTTGGCGGGGGGGGAGAAACCATGCGACAGCCCCCCCTGTCAACGCCGCCTCCGCTTCCACTCTCGCCGTGCTTTGCACGAACGACGAGCGGCCGAAGCCGAATTCATCCCTGAGGATGACACTGCGTTGTTTCAAGGCACTGACAACTTTTTCAATGTTAGCACTGCAGACGACGTTGACTGCTTTCTCTTTGATCACATTGAAGGAGCCGACGGCGATCTGGCCATTTGCGGCACTGGAGTCATGATTGACGAGAGCTATGATCCTCCCGTTCAGTTTGTCCGCAACGGATTCCTCGACGTTGGCAGCTGGACTTGGCAGGTCAACTACACCGATGGAAGCCTCAGCGACAAGTTTGCCTTTACCATGGGCCTGGCCGAGAGTGATCCCGAGTACGTTCCCGTCGTTGCGGATGTCGAGTCTGAAATGAGCGACGAGCCCCAGGCCATCAGTGACCAAGAGTGGCCCTACGAAGGTCAGATTCAGTATGCGTCGGGACGCATCTACTATCAAGTTGGTGGCGGCGAGAGGAATCTTGCCTGCTCTGGGACCGTCATTCGGGACAACAAGAGCGGACGCTCTCTCATCCTTACCGCGGCTCACTGTGTCTACGACGACATTTACGGCCAGTTTGGAGAGAACGTCATCTTCATTCCCAACCGTCACAACAACTTGGGAAGCAACTTGACCGACGAAGAGAGAGCTGACATTCATCGTTCCTGCGAAGAAGATCCTTGTGGATGCTGGTCCTTGTCGGCTGGATTCGTCCTCCAAGAATGGAAGTCCAACCTTTGGCCCGAGAACCTCCCCTATGATTGGGGTGTGTGGGTGGTCGACGATGTCGGCCAGCACGAAGGAGGATCCATGACCAACGGAAACTGTGGAAGTGATGCTCTTGACCAAGCCGTGCCTGAAATGGAATTTGACTTGGGCATTGATCTAGAATCTTTCAAGACCTATGGTATGGGATACTCCTTGGAACACAACCCCGACTTTCACTACTGCGAAGACGCGGGATCCATGGAGACTCTGTCCAACTACCCCGATGTCACCACCTGGTGGATTCCGGCCTGTCAGCTCAATCCTGGATCATCCGGTGGTCCTTGGGTGGTCAACATGGACGTCACCACTGGAAAGGGAAGTCTTGTCACGGTCAACTCTTGGTCCTATGCCGATCGAGACGGAAATGGAGGACCCATCATTGATGCCTCCACTGCCCGATGCTTGATCAACGCGGCTCGTGATGCCGATTTTGAAGCCATCTTCGCCGAAGAAGCTGGTTTCCAGGGCATCTTTGTCGAGTGCTTTGACCGCCCTTGTGTGGTCCCGTCCGATGTTGGTGGAGATGAAGAGACGTCCACGCGAAAGCTGGGTGTTTCTCGCAATGCTCGTGGAGACATTGTCCACTCTCACCCAGAAGGGCGCGTTCTTTGTGAAACTCACGAGTAAGAAACGAACTGCTCGCTTTTTTCACAAGGGAGGGGTTGACGCTAAGCTGTTTTGAGGGCGCACACACTTCTGTGCTGCCTCACAGTTTACTAATAACTTGACTACATAATAATAACACGAAATAATGCTTTAGAAGAAAAAGAACATTGCATTGTCTTGCGCTAGCTAGCTACATGCAGTCGAAATGTCTTGTTGCTGCATCGTTTAATCTTCTGTAGTCGCAAGCAAGTCACCACAGGCGCCCCCCAAAAACCATTACACCTAAAGTCAGAAATGCAGTCGATGACGGATGAACTACACCAGAGTACGGTAACCGATATGTGGGTAACGTTATGGTGACTATGTTTGGTTAGCCTTCGACCTCCTCAATCTCGCTCCCACCTCCTTTCTAAGACTAATAAGTGGGGCGGTAGGACAACAGCTTGGAGTACGGTAGTTTGCAGCTATTTTTGTTGCTATGTCCCCATGTTTGGCAGGAAAGGTCACCTCGGACTGGGATTAGGGGATCGGGATCTGGGGGATCGGGAACGCACCCTAGCTAGCATTCCAGGCGAAAACATGCATGATTAAACAGGAAACAGAATTAGACAGAATTAGTAAAAAGCATGTGAGAGCTCTGGCAGCAAGACTGCCGAGGCATTATTGCTTTTTCTTACGAAACTGTTTCAGCAGTCCCTTGGCGGCCTTTTTCAATGAAACCTTGCTGCCTTTGCCACCCGTTTTGACAGGTGGAGCATCGAGTATGAGTCCATTCTGATCATGGGTCTTTTCTTCGCAATGAAAACTACACGAAGCATCGATAACTTCGAGCCCGAAATCCCCCTCGCCGCCGCCATTGTCACTCGTCGCTTCGTCTGCACTGGTAGCTTCCGTGAGAGGCGGCGAAGTTGCTCGCTCTGCGACGTCGGCGGTTTGGCGTGTAGTAGCTTGGCTCCCAGAAGCCGCAGCAATTTTGATCATGATATCTTCGTCCAGGTCGGGCCCACCAAAGCTTCGACCTCGGTTTTGAGAGGGGGGAGGAACTCGCACAGGCGGGGTTGGTGAGATGGATCTTTCGTCGGGTGACACACCCCTAGCTCTGACGGGAGATCGCTTGGGCGAGGACGGGCTTTGCTGTACAGGAGCTACAGGACCACGGCCGCTTGCTTCCGCGATTTTAATCATGGTATCTGCATCGATATCGTCCATATCGTCCCCACTGAGGACGCGCAGGACTCTTTTTTTAGGGGATCTCGGCGATACAGTCCCCCGTGAAGCAGGCGACCGAGAGCGAGGTCGTGCCTGGTATGGAGACCTTTCTGGCGATTGGGCCGATGTGAGGCTCTGCTGTTCAGGAAAAGGCCCACGACCACGGGAAGCCGCAATTTTGATAAGAGTATCTTCATCAATGTCTTCCCCACTTTGGACCCGACGAACTCTGTTCGTAAGGGATGTTTCGTATTCTCCAGAAGCACCGTTCGGCCGAAGAGGCGATCTTTCCCGAGGTGTATTCTTTGGGAATCTTCCCCGAGTGACACCGTTTCCTCTAGTAGCACTGTTCGGTCTGGCACGTGTAGGGGATCTTGCTGGCGATTTGGTCGATGTGTGACTTTGCTGTACGTGAGGAGTACTGGTACGACCTCTGGAAGCGGCAATCTTGATGAGTGTATCTGCATCAATGTCTTCCCCACTGGTGACACGACGAACTCTGTTCGTAACGGATACTTCCGATCCTCCCGCAGCACCGTTCGGTCGTGGTGAAGCGGTCGACCGAGGTCGTTCCCCTGGCTGACTGGTGGTGGTGGTGCTGCTGTTGACACTACTAGTCATGCCCGTCAAGTCGGGCATGTCATCATCGGCATTGCGGGTGGCACTGGGGCGATTTGCCCGACGACCAGGAGGTGGTCCATGGCTTCGAGCGGCGAGTTTAGCCAGAATATCGTCATCCATAATGTCGTCCCCAGCGACGTCATCGTAATCGTCAATGACCGAAGCCAAGCGTCCTCCCTGTTGTTGACGTCGTGATTGTCTGGGTCGAGCTGGCAACGATCGGTCCATTTCATTTGCTGACGATGAAGAATAATTATTTCGTTGACGATAATCTGTTCTTGTTCCTCGTTCGGGCATGGAGACGACACTGTCATCCATGCCTTGTTGCTGCTGTTGTTGTGCCGTCCTTGAATAATTATTAGCAGACGTGTAGGACGCGGAGGTTGACACGGTACTGTCTGTAAGGGATGTGCGTTGCGATTGCAGAAATTCGGAACTGTTCCCTGCATTCATGTTCAATATCTTGCGCAATTCCATGGCTTCCTTATCTGAGAGATTGTCAAAAATGGAGTCTCGATCTTCTTCCTCTAGTTTCGGTGTGTTGGTGTTGGTGTTGGTACTGTATGTAGAGGATTGCTGGTATTGATTTTGAGCTTGAGCCCCCCTTCCACTGGTTTCGGATTTGACGGACAAGTCCAGGGCAGCCTGTTTGAGGATATTCTGTTGCAATTCCATGACTTCGGCGTGTCGTTCCCGTTGTAATTGCTCCAAGAATGGATCATAGTCGTCAGGTACAAAGGACTCTTGCACGGGCGCTATTGGTTGATGCTCCGTTCTCCACGAATTATCTGTGTGCTGACTGGAAGTGGATGCGTTCATGGCTTCTTCGTGTCCCCTGGCTTTGCCGCAGACTGCACAGGTCAAGTGGAGAGGTGCATTGACATACGTACAGTCGGGACACGCCCAAGTAGCCTTATCCTGAGTGGTCCATCTTCCAAAACTCATGCGCAAGGAGCGATCATGATTGTCAATGCTCACTTCTTCTCCTGGATCGGCAGCATCCTCTGCCCCTCCGTCAAACACGGTCCGCTTGATGATAATCTCTAGTTCCTCGCTGCCGCAGTTCTCAAAGAAGGCAGAGTTATCTGGACTCGGCTGGTGCATCGGTTGTCTACCCATCTTGCTGTTGCTGTTGTTTGTTGTTGTTGTCCCTGTTCCTTCCTTGTGTCTTTGTGTCTTTGTGTGTTCAATGGAGCGATCGTTGGATCGTTGGCGGGTTCGAACCGATCGATACTACTAGCTAGTAGTACCGCGTCTGAGGTTTCCGAGTTGTCCTAGTTTCAAGACTGGTTCGCTAGCTATTAATAGCTAGGTGTGAGGGAATGAACGCTGCTTTGTTTTGAAGGCTGAGCTATAATGATAGTTGGTACCAGGTACAGTACTTCTGCAACAGACTAGCTAGACTCGTCTGTGCGGTGTCGATGGTATCTCCAAGTAGTCTAATTCCAAGGTCGGCAGTACAGTATGGCTCGAGCTGGATGATCCCAAACCAGGCAAGAACTTTGGGGTGAATTGAATAAACTGTACAGCTCACAGCTCACCTCTGTGCTTTGTTGGCAGTTGGCAACTTCCGCTTGCGCGGATTGGGGGAGGTCCCCTCGGTTACACAAGTTTCCTTTTTGGTAAAGCACGTTTTTGCTGTTTTTATTTAGGACAAGTTTCCCTCAATCTCCAAGATCAGCCACATGGTTCGAAAGACAAAAGCCTTCACGAGGAGCCAAGAACACAAGAACAGCTGCACATAATCGATGAGAAACAGCTTCTGCCAATCTACCGGTACTGTAGCAAAAAGATACTATAAAGGGAAGCCAAAAAAATACAAGGTCTCGATCAAGAGAAAGCATCGAACGCTATGACTGCTTCTAGCTAAACAATGTATGTTAAATGTTAATTCAATCACTTCTGGCTGAAAACTCGGGCGTCTCGTACTGTACTGTACCGGTACCTGGTATTTAATACCGGTACCGTTGGACGTTGAAGCAAAAAATCCTCAAACCTCAAACGCAACCGCATTTGATTTTGACAGTTTTTTTAAAAGAGTGTGAAATAACTTTCAAAGTAAAAATTAAGGACTAATTTCACGGAAAGAATAAGTTAGACATCTAGCTAGCAACATGTACCGTGCTCATCAAGAAGATCGGTCATCCGAAGGAACTAAAAGACAGCATCTTGTCGTCCAATCGTAAGCTAAGAGGATCCCAAGAAAGGACAACAGTTGGTGGCAATTGCTGCTGATGAAGCAAAGGATGCAGGCATCAGACACCGAAGTGAAGTGACGTCCAGCATCCTCGCCTAGATACCGGTAGATAGCCTCGTACTTTGTGGAGGTGCTGGCCCATTGTAACTTGCTGGTATATCTCTCGCTCCTCAGCAGTTTTGTATCCTCAACTACTGCAGCTCTTGATTTTTTTTGCTTCTGACTTGTTTGACTTCATCGCCACCGTACATGTATTCACGCTGCGCGGTGCGTTTTCGAATAGTTGCATGCCTCGTTCCGTTGTTAAACTTCATAATCATATTGTACCAGTACCACACTAGCTAGAATACCGGTCGCAAGCACGCACGTTCACATGCATGCATGTTGGCTTTGTTCAGGTATTTACAATCGAGAGTGCCTCAACAAACTTTGAAATGTGGCTTCTTGTTTCTCCAGGGCCGCCTGGACGGACTTTGGCAGGTCGTCTGACTGGAGTGCCATGGCATTATAGGAAATGATTTGCTCCAGACTGTCTGTCACTGTGTGGTCTCGTGCGAAAAGGAGCGCCTTTTTGGTCCCAACCACTGCCACGGGGCTGTGGGAAGCCATGGTATGACACAGTTTGACGGCACTTTCCACGAGACTGGTCTGACTATCAAGCGACGCTGAGGATACAAAACCCATCCGAAGGGCTTCTGCTGCCTTGAAATTTCTCCCCGTCAAACAAACCTCTGACACCCAAGAAGAATTTCCCACAATTTTGGGCAGTCTTTGCAGTGTCCCCACATCGGCAGCGAGCCCCATTTGCACTTCTCGCACCGAAAAGATGGTCTTGGCGGCACAGATGCGAATGTCGGCACAACACGCTAGATCAATGCCAGCTCCCACACAAACTCCGTGCATGGCTGCCACTACGGGAATCGGACATGTCTCCAGTGCCGTAAAGCAGGCCTGCATCTGTCGGACTTTGGGAATCAATGCCAGTCCTTTTCGTGCCGGATCCTCGCACTCCTCGTCTCCGCCAGTGACAAATGACAAATCTTGTACATCAATTCCAGCACAAAATCCACGGCCACTTCCAGTCAGCAACAGACAGCGAGAATCATCTCCTGGCTCACCGCAGCCGAGACGACCAAACGCATGGCCAATCTCACGCCACATGGCGGCGCAAATGGCGTTGATCTTTTTCGGTCGATTCAACCGTACAATCGTCACATGAGGACTGCTTTCAGGAATCTCAATAGACAAGTACTTGTAGTCCTTATCGAACGGATGAGGCCTCGTCCGGATTGGATGGACTGTTGCGGAGCTGCTTGTCATGGTGGATGGTTGCATATTGGCGCTCTGAAGTGGAAGTGTTGCGGTTGAGGTGTTGTGGCGTGGGTGGGAGTGCGGTGTGGACGCTGGGGCATTAGAGACTTAATACACTTAAATCTATCTATGAGGAAAGAAATGCGTTAATGCTTTCTTTAGCCGTTGGCCGAGAATTCCAACAACCCGACACCCCGTCTGTCCTTCATGCTGCCCGGGTTGATCTCTCGGGATACGGTACCATGCACAGAAAGCTCGTCTCCCGCACAGGGCTAGACTGCTAGCCAGTAGCTAGCTAGCTAGTAGTAGCTAGTAAATAGAGAAGGTATTCCTTGGATAGCTAATATAGATCCAGCAAATGTTGCAGACGACCTTGACGGTGGTGTCGAAGGTGACATCGAGGACCTGCCATCGAGACTCGGAAGACGACGATGATCAGGACAATGCATCTGTAGCGGTACAACCGCAGCCACAACAACAGTTCAACGAACCCTCAACAAGCTCCGTGGGATTCTGTGAGTGAGTTTTGGCTGCAACTGAAAACGCCTTCTCTCTTGCGGCGCACACTTGGGCTGGGTGATGGTACCTGGCACTAGTTGATATCAAACATACTGTGTCGTGATGTGATCAGGAATGATTGGCATTCAATCAGCGAAAGCGCATTTTGGTAGTGAAGTCTAACTTATCAATCCTCTACATCACAGTCACTCACTTGTCGTAAGGATTCTGGGCAAAGAATCCAGGAATGGACATGGCTGAGGCTGCCGCGGCTCCATCACCTGGCACGGCTCTGCCATTCTCGTAAACCTCATCGGGATACAAGGATCGCATAGCTGGAGTGACCTGTGAGGCCAAGTCGAGTGTTTGGGGCGTCAGCGCCATGTAATCAAACGCAAAGATGATAGGGACGGCGGATGGCCCAGTCACGATGGGAGGAATCTTTGGATAGCGTTGCGAGAAATGAGTAAGCACCAGTCGTTTTGCTTTCATTTCGTGGGCAATCCTGATGGCTTCTCCGACAGTAGAATGACGTTTCATGGTGGCCTCGGCTTCCATCCCATCTTCAAAGGTGGCTTCATGAATCAACAAATCTGACGCCTGTGCTCGCTGTGCAAATCGTGACGACGGACGGCAATCGCCGCTGTAGGCAACGGTTCCAAAACTTGTCCCTTCCACCACAACTGCAAAAGAAAAGGGGCAGTGAGCCACGGGAATGGCCTCGATCCTACTAATGCCGTCGCCGCCCATGAGAGTGTTGGCCTTCATTTTTTCGGGCATGGAAACGCGGGGTCTTTTTGGATCGTGAACCAGCTCTCGACAGTCCAATGGAACGTAGCTTGACGCTATTCGTGGATCGACCGCTTCATATTCTCGCAGGAAATCCAAAATTGGAGGTGGACCAATCACCAACAGTGGATGATTGTTGCCATTCGTATCCTCACTGCGCAACACCGCCTGGCGGTCTGTCAGCAACCGCAGAAGTCCCAAATGATGATCTGCATGAGGATGAGATATCCAAGCAGCTTGAATACTTTTGAGGAGAGATTCCGCAGTTGGAGCAGCACTGGTTGTTGTCAGTGACGCCCGTAGCAGCTGTCCAACTGTTCCTTCTCCAACGTCCAAGAGTATCCCCTTCCCGTCATCCATTCGTAAGCACATGCCCGTGACATTGCGGTGCTTGCAGGGGATTGCAGATCCCGTGCCGGTCATCAACAGCTCGGCTTTGGAATGGATGTTACCGTTACCGTTGCCCGCTTCAAATTGTTGCTTCTTCTTGTTAATTTCAAGAAGGAGTTGTGCTTGTTTCTGTGCGCCACATCGGTCCAAGAACTGCGTTCCTTCCATGCGTCGATCCTGGAGATGCGTGACCGGGAGCAGTTCTGTATATCCCTTTCGACTGCGAGGAAGCAGGGTGTACTCTAACATGGGGACAGCCGATCGCACTCCCTCTGGTATGGTTTGCTCCTCGTGATTGTTGGACTCCTCCTCCTCCAAGGACTGCTGCAAGTAATCGGGTGTTTTGTACAAGTCGGGGCATATTTGAGATCTCACAAGAGCGCCTATACAAGCACTGGTGTACACACTCGGCTTTGTTTGACAGTTGGCGGGGATTGCCGGATCGCAGGTCTCTAGGAATAAATGATTGTTGAGTGGTTGCAAATTGTCGCTGTCTCTAGCACCGCCTTCTTGCTGTTGTAGCTTTGCTCTCCAAGCTTGACAAGCAGGATCGTTCAAAATTTTGGGACTTGTCATGTGAACGACAAGTTCAATCTTTGCCGTTTGACTTTTGTTGGCAAGAATGTTGTCTAGTTTGGGTTGCATTTCTCTCCAAACTTGCATTGTCGGATAGTAAAGTACAGCAATGATCATCCCCGGAGTCGGCTGAAGGACTACTTGCGAACCTTCTACATGACACTCTTGTCCGTCTTTGTTGGTAAATGTGACATTCTCTCCACGCTTTAATTTAGCATAGAGAGGTCCTGGTGGAATGCCCAGTTCTTTTGCCTTATCTGGCAGGAACTTTCCAGATATGGGAGGTGTTTGAAAGACGTAGGATACTACCTGTGTGGGTTTTGTCTCTGCGGCCATTGTCGGGATGTGGTAGGTAATTGGAATGGTTTGGACTCCAAAGTACGATGGTGGGTCTTCTTCCTGCTGCTCGCCATTGGTACATGTAGATTGTGCGTTTTGTTTGCTTTCTTGTCGTTTTCTCTTTTTCTTGGCCCGACTGGTTCTACTGACTTCTTCTTGACTACCAGCAGGATCCACCTGATAAAGACCTTCTCGAATGGTGACTTTGAATTCCTCTCGCTTGAGAAAATGCCGCAAAGAATGAAAGTAGGACTTGGTTCCCTCGGGTCCCACGAGTTCCAACCCTCCCAGATCCAAGGTGCTATGCATAGTAGGTCGCTTGGCCTTTTTATTATTTGAATTCTTGGCTGACTCTGCTGGTTGTTGTCGTGGTGCTCCCGGTTTTTGTGCCATGATGGCCACTTGTGTAGCTTTCGCGGCATCGGCACTACTGAGAACCATCCCTGGCAATCCTCCCAGTGAATCGTTGGCCAAGTGGGTCAAACAGACTCGAGTCACCGAGGAAAGTTTCTGTGCGTGTTCCAAGAAGGAGCGTTGGCATCCTTCGCCACAATTCACCAAAGTCTTGCTGCCATCGGGGTCGATCAGCAATAACGCCGGAGAGGAATCCACCGTTCGAGTCGTCAAAACTCGGACAGCTGCTGTCATGTTGCTCCGCCACGCAGAATAGAACAGCAACGACTTTCTTTTCAGGACAAGTTTATGGATGCTCGGGTTGTTGCTGATGTTGAGACGTATACTCCTTTGATTGAGACGATACAGCGCTTGGAACATGACAACTTGGCCAACGGCTCCAGCTGTGGTCAAGAGCCAATTGATTGAGGAAGTGAATGGGTGGAGTGGAGTGGAGAGTGAGACTTGCCAGTGAGAAAGAAAGATCAGGGGCTCCAACAACACACTAAACAGCTCTGCGGCATTCTAATTTGGTTTTGCTTCATTTTGGAGTTTGCCTTCTGCCTCGTCGTTTCAGCAAAACCGATTTCGGGTTGGGTCTGTTGCATACATAGATGCACCGTGTCATCAAGGCCAAGAGGAGCAGACCCATCCAAATGAGCGGCAGTGCTTGAGCCCCTTTGCGAACTATTCCTTGGCTGTTTGATGCTGCTGGAAGGCCGCAAATTCTAACCAATCATACCCAATGCCTTCCGCTTCCGCTGACTGCCGATGGATGGATGCTTTGACAGAATGCAACAATGCTCTTTAGTGTTGTGCTCCCCTCTTCCTCCCGCACTACTTTGCAGTCTACTGTCCTACTCGAGAAAGCATAAACTTCAAAACCAGAGCCGAAAAGAAAAGCAGAAAATAAACCAACGAGAAACCTTGATGACAATGTAGAAGGTATTATTTTAATTAACGGAGTGGAGAGTGGTGTATTCCATTGGCATTTTGCTGAAGTTCTGTTTCCCACGGTGCGACATCAATGCAGAAGATCCTTTATTCAGTTCTCTTTCTCTGAACTTAGACGGAACCGTTGTTGTTGCTGTTGCTGTTGTTGTCATTCTTGAAGTTGCCGTTCTGATCCGGTTGGAAGAACCACTGGTTGCTGCTGTTGATGTTGCCAATGTTGGGGTACCCCATGTTGCCAATATTGATGTTTCCCATGTTGATGTTACCCATGTTGACATTGGAGCTACCCATGTTGACATTGGAGCTACCCATGCCCATGTTCATCATGTTGGTCACACCTGGACATTGGGTCTCGGCTCGTTCCAAGGGCACAAAGTTGGATGCGTCAACGTCGAAGAAGCTTGGGAATGACATTGGACCACTGGCAAAGGCGGGGACCGGAAGCGTGTTGTCGGAAGGCAATGGATCTGCTGAAGCAAGAGATGCAAGAGCTAGGTGCTGTGGTTGTACATTCTGATAAGCTGCCACCAAGCTGGTGCCGTTGCTGGTGGTGTTGATGGTGTTGCTGTGTCGGTTGCTTTGAGTGATGATGTTGTTGATGGTGCTATTGAGGGAAGGCATTGGGATACTCTCGGGGCTTCCACTTCTGCTGCTGTTGCTGCCAAGAGAGTCCTTTCTGGCCTGTTTGGCCTTCGCACTGGATTGGTATGTTTGGGGGAGCATGTCACGGAAGAGAGCTGCAAGTCAACGAACGAGGACATTGTGAGGACGGGTTGGGTCGGACGATAGTTTCCTTCACAATACCGGTAAACAACTCACCTCCAATCTTTTCACGAGAGATGCGCTCGGAGCATTCATACCATCGACCATTCTCAAAAGTTACAAACGCTCCCTCGGGGCTGGACTCCTTGACGAGGTTGAAGACTCGCGTCACAATCTTGGACTTCTCGGCCTTAGTCTTGGCCTCAGAGTATTCCTGGAGGAACATCTTCGCTGTCACTTTGAACCTTCGGTTTCTGGTTGAGAGTGTGGCAAGAATCAAGTGTAAGTGCAAGTTTCAAAGCAAGCAATGACAGGCAATGAAGTGAGGCAGCAAGGGCCACTTACCCAACGGAGTCAAAGCAGAATTTGGTGCGGCCACAAATGACACTGTATTGGGTTGGCTCAAAGGTTTCGGGGAGTAGTCTCTTAGTATGTTTGCTCCTCGCGACCCAATAGTTGCCAATCTTCTCAGGGGCGGCCTTGGATGGTTGGTTGTCCATGGAGGAGTTCAAAGTGGTGAGCTTGGGTTCTCCTTGAAATTTGAAAATCATCTTAGTTTTATGAGCTTTGTGTTGTGTTGATGTCTGTTGGCTGGTGTTTGATGTTTGGTTTGAAGCTTGCAAATTGTGAGCTCCTCGCATCAGGTCGTAGTCCGAGAGCCTATTCTCCAGTTGATAGCTGCTGGTCTAATACATGGATCTAAGGAAAAGAGCAGAGCGATGACATCCTCCACAACCTAAAAATTGTGTCATCAAACTACAAGTAAAGTTGCCGGGGCCCATTCGCCTCGCTTGCAGGAGGTTCTGCAGATCGAGGAGGATCGAGTTGCTGGAACTCTGGCGTCAACCGAAAATTTAATGAGAGAATCAGCTACATCGTACAATCGCGCTTGAAGGAGGACCACAAAGCGGAGGGTCCTTGTCTTAAATCATTGCTCATACTCTTGAACAGCTGTTCTGAAATGGCTTTTTAGTGTTTATAGTAAAACCTACTCTCAGTCTTTCCAATATGTTATCTCTAGCCCTATCAAGGAGAACAAAAGGGCAGTCCTGGATCGATTTTGTCTTTTTCATTTAACAATTTCTGAGGAGGGGCACCACAGTGGTCGTGTGATTCCTCCTTTCTGCCCACACCGGATCCCGTTTGTTTTCCAGTCACATGTTTTAGTCTTAGCCCCAACCACCCAAACAAAGTTGTTGACGTTGCCGGTCTTTCGACCTGGTAGAACTCACAGATAGATTCGATTCGATTCAAAGCCGGGAAACACTGTATGCATCTTCATTCTCTACACGTACGTGCCCGAAGCCATCTCCATTTGCTTCGTTGCTTCGTTGCAGCTTGCGACTTGGCCACACTGGCCCCCATTCATACTTCAGACTTTTATTCCTGTGGGGCAACCGTGCGTGTGCTTTACAATCGGCAACCATGAACAAGATTTTTTGCAATGCAACGACCTAGTTTGCGTTTGGCAACCCACACAGCCTCTACTAGCTTTCAAAGATCTTTGGCGTGTCTGATCTCCCATACACACACTAGCTAGTCTAGGGCAAGCGACGGGAAGCGCACCTCTTCTTCATGTCGACACATTCATTCTTCGGTCGACCCCTCACAGGAACGGTACGGTACGGTACGGTACGGTACGGTACGGTACCAGTGTCACTGACAACGAGGGCTTCCTACTAGTTCGAGTTCTCGGGTGGGAATGCGATAACTGCGTCAGAGCTCCAGCCAGGCAAGAGGAGCCGCATTAGAATGCCTATCACGGGATTGTTGATAGACAGAAACTGTGTTCGGGCCGCTCCTGGCTCGGTTCGCGTTAAACGAAAAGCAAAGCCAACATCTTTGGTACGGCGCGCATCCGTTCGAGCTTCGTGTATCTACTCTCTCGCGACGATCGAGTTTTGTTCCGAACCACAGTCTCGGTCACGGCTACATGCGGCAACTGTGTTCAGTCCCTGCCCCCGGTCCTTCCTTGTCTTGGAGTCTTATTGGTATTCATGGATCCTTCCCTGGTTGTGGTTCTGCCTCAAGCTCTTGGCTGGTACGCTGTATCGGCGGTTGGTCAACAATCTTTCAGATCAAAAAAGGGTCTTTATAAGGAGGAGTACGGGGCGACGGAGTCAGGCATCGTACGAGGATTCACGTTGTCGACCACTAGTACTAGTAACTAGCTAGTATGCCCTTTCGTTCGGGTGGTGGGTGAGCCATCGAGGTCGAGGCTAGGTGGAGCAAACACGCCAAGAACTATGCGAATCCAACTTATCATCCACACCAACCATTCAGTCGACTCTTTCGAACGCACTCTCTCTCGAACTCTCTCTCGAACTCTCGATGAATCTATGATTGATCGATCATTCATTCGATGTCTTTCTTTGTCTACTAGCTAGTAGCGGTACAGTACATTGCGACAATACCATTGTGCATTGATTAATCTAACGATCTAAGAGATGTAAAGTTTGTATTTCCAAATAAGTGAGCTAGATGAGCATCATATGTCGGGATGATCCAACTTGGTTCGAAACCTCGGCAGCAGACCATGTTGTTTATTCATAAAGGACATTTCAAAAAAAAAAAAAAAAACTCCATAGGTTATTTTTTTTAAAATTAATTTGTGATGGGGGAAACCCCATATTTATTTATATTTTTTCTGCTCAGTCCAGACAATGATCTTGATTGAGTCCTATGTTGGGCAGCCCAGAAACTTGGATATGACCTCACCATTGGAAGAAAAGGGTGAGATCTTTGGATTCCTCGGCATAATTTTGAAAAGACAGGAGACAATGTTGAGCTTACTCAAAAAGGGCTCATCAATAAAGTCCATTAATATACTTGTATGTCTGACGCTAGCAAGAAGTTTTCTCCTGCCGCCACCGATCTCTCGGAGCTGACAAATGGGGGCCCTCATTTGAAGAAAAGTGGAAGCTATCCAGCTGCAGTTGGGATGCTTTTTTATATTGCGTCGAACACTGGCCCAGAACTCACATTTAGTGTGTCACCAGGTGGCACATTAGTCACAATCCCAGGCATTCCCATGCTCAAGCAATCAAACGTATCATTCGGTATCTGATTGGCACAAGTGACAAGGCATTTGTTTTAGCCCTAAACTTGATCAGGGACTTGATTGTTGGGTCGATGCTGACTTCGCCGGATTGTATGGATATGAGGATGAACAGGATCCTGTGTCCGTCAAGTCTCGCACTGGATTTGTCCTGACTCTGTTTGGTGCCCTATTATCTGGTCCAGCAAGCTACAGACTGATATTACCTTGAGCTCCACTGCTGCTGAGTATGTTGCCTTCAGCATGTCAATGAGGGAGCTGCTTCCTATGCGAGCTTTGCTCAAAGAAATTGGTAGCAAACTGAATATGCGGTAATTACTGACAGTCTCGTGCGCTCTACATGTTCGAAGACAACCAAGGTTGCTGTCTCTTGTGAATGTTCCCAAAATGTCTGCGCGCCAACAAGTATTTGGCATTAATACCACTTCTTCAGGTCCAATATCGGGGAGTCAAAGGCATCGTGCTAAGTATATCCGACTCTGGAACAACGGGCCGACATTTTCATAAGGGTCTTCCGGCTCCACAGTTTGCTGTCTTTCGGAAGCTCCTCATGGATGGTAATTTACCTCAGCACTTTGCTGGGGACTCTCTCCTATCGTTTCTTGCTCCAGCTTCATTTCAGCTGTAAGGGAGTGCGACGGGATACAGCTTACAATTCAGCTTTAAGCTTTACAATTAGCAGGCTTATTCTAGAAAATAATCAATAACT